GATCTAAGTTCAAACCCCTAATATACACTTAAAAGCTGGGTGCAAGCCGGGCCGTGGTGGCACACAGGAGGATCTCTGTGAGTTCGAGGCCAGCCTGGTCTACATAGGAGTTCCAGGACAGCCAGGGCTACACAGAGAAACCCTGTCTTGAAAGACCCCCAACAATAAATAGATAAATACATAATAAATAAATAAAAGCTGGGAGCAGACCCAGGAGGGCCACAGAGGTCAGTGCTGTGAGAGGCACAGTCCCGGGGAACAGGTGGGGCTGGCAGCAGGCTCCAGGGCAAAGGCGCTGCCACACCTGACCGCCATGAGAAGGGAGGCCGTGGCCCCAGGAAAGACACGAGGCGCTGACCCCCTTCCCACCCCAGCTTCCACATGTGCACAGGCGTGAGTGCAAGTACACACACACGCACGCACGCACACACATGCACGCATGCACGCGCACACGCACACACACGCACACACGCACACACATGCACGCGCACACACACGCACACACATGCACGCACACACACACACGCACGCACGCACACACATGCACGCACACACACGCACGCATGGGCACACACACACGCACGCACACACGCACACACACATACACGCACGCACACACACACGGGCACACACACACGCACGCACACACACACGCACACGCATGCACACACACACACACACACGCATGCACGCACACACACACACACACACAGGCACACACGCACGCACACACACGCACGCACACACGCACACACACATGCACGCACACACACACGCACGCACGCACACACACATGCACGCACACACACACACACGCATGCACGCACACACACGCACGCACACACACACACACACACACGCACACACATGCATGCACACACGCACACACACACATGCACGCACGCACACACACATGCACGCACACGCACACACACACATGGGCACACACACACACGCACGCATGCAAACACACAGGCACGCATGCACACACACACGCACACACGCTAACATACATAAATAATTTTTAAAAAATTCGGGCCTTTTTGCTCATCACAGGGTGCCTTGAAGAAAATTGCTCTGGCTGAGGGTCTTCCGTTTTTTCACAACTGTGTGTGCGCACACGAGTTCACTGCACAAAGAGGCCAGAAGAGGGCGCTGGGATCCCTGTACCCAGAGTCACAGATGCTTGTGAGCTGCCGTGTGAGTGCTGGGAGCTGACCTGGGTCCTGGGCAAGAGCAGCCGGTGCTCTAACCACTGAGCCCCGAGGAATGAAATCTGAACACACACACACCCCACCCCTGGCTGCAGGATCCTGACAAGCCAGGCTTTGTGAACACTTTTGGTATTTTCTACTTAAGATGGTTTTGTGAGGATGGCCTCACCGTAAGCCAGAGGACGTCTGTTGGTGCGTTGGCTTTTGTCAACTTGACACAAGTTTGGGAAGAGGGACCTCAACTGAGGAAATGCCACCACCAGGTTGGCTGCAGGGCATGTTCTTGACGGACGGCGGGGAGGGCCCAGCCCGTTGTGGTCCCGGGTTCCCTAAGAAAGCGGCTGAGCGAGCCAGTGAGCGGCTCCTCCTCCAGGCCCTGCCCTGCGCGCTCCTGCCCGACTCCCCAGTGATGGACAGTGACATAAACCCTTTCCTCCCCAAGCTGCTTTTGGTCACGGTGTTCATCCCAGCAACACGGGGGCATCCAGGACTCGGTCTTCGGTCAGGAAGGGACCCGAGTGGAGATGGCCGCGGGCCGAGCATCTGCGGAGGAGACCCGGCCAGCTCCCACCGCTGCTCGGCGTCCTCACGGACCCACCCGGGACGCCGCACAGCCTGCAAGGTGGGACCTGAGCTCTGCGGCTCCAAGGCCACTGCGAGTCCCCGCGGAAAGCGGGAGCCACCCTGCCTGCTCCGCCCCCCCGGCCCTGCACCCCGCACCGAGCCCGCCGGGACCTCAGCCACGGCGGACGGTCTAGAGGTGGGTGCCGCCGCCGGGGACCCCGGGCCACGCTGGGTCCCTGTCGCTGAGCTCTGGCCCAGGGCCTGGTCCCCGCGCGCACGGCAGCCACGCTCCGGCCGCCCCAGGCGCTGTGACCTGGCGTGCCATCTGCAAACCGATACCGGCCTGCAGCCTCTTGTGAAACCGGCCGCCACGGTTTCCGCCCGTGGGAAGTCCCCAGGCAGGCTGTGCGGGGATGGCGGGTGAGTGGGCTAGCCGGAGTGGCCGGCTCCGTGCCTCAGTTTCTCTACCCGTCAAGTCTGCGAAGCTCTCATAATCCTTGGGCTCTGCAGACCCTGGCGGGGCGTGCTCTCCGGGAGGGGCCGCGACCCCCCACGCGTGCAGCCTCGGCCCCGGGCCGGATGTGAGGGCGGGTGGCACAGAAGCCCCCGACTTCAGCCCGCACCGTGCAAACGCGGACTGCGCGGTACCGCGTGCACCGCGGGCGGATTCCACTCCCTGCACTGGGGTTCGTGCGTGACCCGGACAGGCAGGCGGACAGACAGGCAGACAGACAGACAGACAGGCAGACGGACAGACAGGCAGACGGACAGACAGGCAGACGGACAGACAGGCAGACGGACAGACAGGCCGGGTGTGCGGTGACAGCTGCAGGAGCCCACTTCCCCGCACGAGGACAGTGACAGCGGCAGTGAGTGGGGCTTCCTCTGCGCGGCCCCTTTCACGGACCCCAAGTGTGTTGATGTCCCTGTTCCCGTACAAGGGAAACTGAGGCCGAGAGAAGCCACGACACGGCCTGAGCCGCTGGGGTGTTTGTTGACGACTGCACGACCGCTCCTCAGGCCCCAGTTGGCAAGCGTCTCTGTGGGGGAACCTGCTGCTTTGCTTTCACAGGAAGGGCCAGGGCGGGTCAGCCCAGGGCGGCACAGCAGCCGGCGGGGCAGGACGGAGCAGGTGGGGACCAGGCCTCCTCCCCACCCCTGCCTCAGTTCCCCGCCTGGGCCCGCGCACTGAGGGGCTGAGTGAGGATTGCTGAAGACTTTGATGACTCGGGGGAGACGCGTGGGGTGGGGAGGAGGGGGAGGAGGGGGAGGAGGGGGGCAGAGAGACGCGGAGACATGTGGGGTGGGACCACTGCCACCCCAGTCCGGCCTAGAACCCCCAGTGAGGGGCTGGGGGCGTGGTCAGGGTGGAGCCCCGCCTAGAACCCCCAGTGAGGGGCTGGGGGCGTGGTCAGGGTGGAGCCCCACCTAGAACCCCCAGTGAGGGGCTGGGGGCGTGGTCAGGGTGGAGCCCCGCCTAGAATCCCCAGTGAGGGGCTGGGGGCGTGGTCAGGGGTGGAGCCCTGCCCAGAATCCCCCAGTGAGGGGCTGGGGGCGTGGCTCAGGGGTGGAGCCCCGCCTAGAATCCCCAGTGAGGGTCTGGGGGCGTGGTCAGGGTGGAGCCCCGCCTAGAATCCCCAGTGAGGGGCTGGGGGCGTGGTCAGGGTGGAGCCCCACCTAGAACCCCCAGTGAGGGCTGGGGGCGTGGTCAGGGTGGAGCCCCGCCTAGAATCCCCAGTGAGGGGTTGGGGGCGTGGTCAGGGTGGAGCCCTGCCTAGAATCCCCCAGTGAGGGGCTGGGGGCGTGGCTCAGGGTGGAGCCCTGCCTAGAATCCCCCAGTGAGGGGCTGGGGGCGTGGCTCAGGGGTGGAGCCCCGCCTAGAATCCCCAGTGAGGGGCTGGGGGCGTGGTCAGGGTGGAGCCCCGCCTAGAATCCCCCAGTGAGGGGCTGGGGGCGTGGCTCAGGGTGGAGCCCTGCCTAGAATCCCCAGTGAGGGTCTGGGGGCGTGGTCAGGGTGGAGCCCCGCCTAGAATCCCCAGTGAGGGGCTGGGGGCGTGGTCAGGGTGGAGCCCCACCTAGAACCCCCAGTGAGGGGCTGGGGGCGTGGTCAGGGTGGAGCCCCGCCTAGAATCCCCAGTGAGGGGTTGGGGGCGTGGTCAGGGTGGAGCCCTGCCTAGAATCCCCCAGTGAGGGGCTGGGGGCGTGGTCAGGGTGGAGCCCCGCCTAGAATCCCCCAGTGAGGGGCTGGGGGCGTGGTCAGGGTGGAGCCCCGCCTAGAATCCCCCAGTGAGGGGCTGGGGGCGTGGCTCAGGGGTGGGGCCCCGCCTAGAATCCCCCAGTGAGGGGCTGGGGGCGTGGCTCAGGGGTGGGGGCGTGGTCTGGGCGGAGCCGTGCGGGTGGGGACACTGAGGCCGGCCCAGAGCCTCCTTCCCCGTGGGCGCTGACTGGTGTGTCCCCCCTCGTCCCTCTTACTGTCCCCACCTACCGGAGGCAGGTGTGGAGCCTGTGAAAAGCAGGGCACGCGCTGCCTCAGTTCCCCCCCGACACCTCCCGCGCGGACCGTCGCGGGCTCTGGGCGTCCACACACCGCACTTGCTCACTTAGAGTGCACAGTCCGGCGGCATTCAGCACGTCCACTCGGTGTGCACACGGCACTAATTCCAGAGCGCTCCTCTCCCAGCGCAGGCCGTGACCGTCGGGACACTTGAGATCCACGGGTCACTCACCTGGGTCTCTGCGCTGCTGCTGTCAATCACCTGCACTGTGCTTTTGAGGTTTTCCAACCTATGCCAGTGCCTCTTCCCTTTTCACTGCTGAGTAATACTCCGCTGTGCGCCTAGAGCGCATTTTATTTCTCTGCACACGTGCCTTCCTGGTCCCTGCGACCCCGCTGCTCGGACCTGTGGTGATGACAGCCGTTCGCTCCCCTTCCTCCCTTTGTTCACTTCTCGGCTCTCCTTCCCTTCACCCTTCTTGTCCTGTTGTAGATGGAACCCAGGGTCTTCCTCCACCCTCTAACCTGGAGCCACGCCCCCAGCCTCTCATTGGTGGGTCCGAGGCTGTCACTCTGCCCCTGGGCCACGCCCCCGCCCCTCATTGGTGGGTCCGAGGCTGTCACTCTGCCCCTGGGCCACGCCCCGGCCCTCCCCGGGGTCCGAGGCCGTCAGAAGCGTGTTGGACGCCGCGGCTTCTCCCCGACCCGGAACTGGACGGACGTCTGGGTCACCGTGCGCGCCGGCGGTCACAGGCCCGTCCGGCTGTCGGTCGCGTTTATTCAGTGTCAGTGCTCCGCGCCGCCCGGCTGTGCGACCGCCCCGACCTGGGCCTGCCGCCCCGGGCGCCTGCGTCGGGGCTCTAGACACAGACGCCGTCCAGCGCCCCGGCCCCGAGCGCGCCTCTCCGCCTGACGGCCCCCGTGGGCGGTTTCTAGGCCCCCTCAGCCCGGTGTCCCCCCGTGGGCGGTTTCGGGGCTCCCCGGAGAGGCCTGCGGCTGGTGGGAGGGCGCCGTCACGCAGCCTGGGTCGCACCCTGCGGGCGCCGGGCGGCCTCCGGTGAGCCGCTCGCCCTCTGCGGCCTCGGCAGTCCCGGCCCCCCGGCCTCCGGGACGGCAGCGGCGTCGTCCGAGTCCCGGGCCTCCTCCACCACCAGCGTCTCTCGCGGGCACACCACCTCCGGGAAGTCCGCGGGGCCGCGCCACTGCCAGGCCTGGAAAGGGGCACAGCCAGGCTGTGGGCGGGGTCGGGTCGGGCTGTGGGCGGGGCCAGGACACTGAGGGGGCAGGGCAGAGTGAAGCCGGACGTGGGCGGGGCCAGGACAGCGAAGCTGGACGTGTGGGCGGGGCCAGGACACTGAGGGGGCAGGACAGAGTGAAGCCGGGCGTGGGCGGGGCCAGGACAGCGAAGCTGGACGTGTGGGCGGGGCCAGGACAGAGTGAGGGAGCAGGACAGAATAAATCCGGATGTGTGGGCGGGGCCAGGACAGGGTGACTGTGTGGGCGGTTCCGGGACAGGATGACTTGTGTGGGCGGGGCCAGGACAGGGTGACTGTGTGGGCGGGGCCAGGACAGGGCGACTTGTGTGGGCGGGGCCAGGACAGGGTGACTTGTGTGGGCGGGGTCAGGACAGGGCGACTTGTGTGGGCGGGGCCAGGACAGGGTGACTGTGTGGGCGGGGCCAGGACAGGGTGACTGTGTGGGCGGGGCCAGGACAGGGTGACTTGTGTGGGCGGGGTCAGGACAGGGCGACTTGTGTGGGCGGGGCCAGGACAGGGTGACTGTGTGGGCGGGGTCAGGACAGGGCGACTTGTGTGGGCGGGGCCAGGACAGGGTGACTGTGTGGGCGGGGCCAGGACAGGGTGACCTGTGTGGGCGGGGTCAGGACAGGGCGACTTGTGTGGGCGGGGCCAGGACAGGGTGACTGTGTGGGCGGGGCCAGGCGTGAGTGACGCGGGTAGGTGGGCAGAGCCTCGCCCCTGGCCAGATGGTCGGGTTCTCAGGAGTCGTCCCTGTCCCCAGCCCGCGTGACCATCTTTGGACGGACCAGTCGGAGCTGGCCCGGACCTGGGCGTCGGCCGGTGCGGAGGCCGGAGCCCCCGGGCCGGGCGGGCCGAGCTGGACGGCCACCGCCGTCCGCACCCTCCAGTCCGAGGCGGGGAGGATCCTTTACCTGCTTGCCCTGGCTGCCCGGGAGCTCCACGGCCGTGCTGGCACAGGGCGTGGGCAGGGGTGGGCACAAGCGCCAGGCGGCCCTGGGAGCGAAGGCGGCAGGTCAGGGCCGGGGTCCTCCCGCCCTTCCAGCCGGTGCCCGCCCGCGGGGCCGGTCACGGCGGGGGAGGGCGAGCGTACCTGTTCAAGCCCACGTATCCGAGGCCGCCCACGAGGAGGACACTGGCGAAGCTCCCCAGGGACGCAAAAACGATGGCCAGCCGGGACATCCGCGCCTCTGCGGGCGGACGGCTCGGGTTGAGCGGCGCCCGCCCTCCTCCCCACCCCGCGGGGTCCCTGGGGTCAGCGGGGACAGCGCCTGGGAAGGGACTGTACGCTTGGTTTTGCAGGATGAATAGGAGTTTGACACGTGGGGCCCAATTTTCGGGCGGGGAGGCGGGCGGGAGCACCTCGGCCGCACTCACCGAGCGGGAAGCGCTGCGCGGGGCTCCAGGCGCCCGGGAGCCGCGCCGTGTCCGCCCGCACCTGCACCCTGTACGCGCCGCCGCCGCGCAGTCCCCGGAGGGTCACTCGCGTCTCCGCGGGCGGCACGAGCCACTCTGCGGGGGGACGTGGGTTAGGGTCGTCCCGGGACCGTGGGCTCAGCCCCGGGTCGGTTCCCGGCACCCCCGGGCAGCTCAGGGCTCCAGCCCCCGGCCCTGTGTCGGGCACACCCGTGCGCGGACACTCATGACGGGATGTGAGAGGCAGAAAGAGGCAAGCACAGGATGCAGGTCCTCGGGAGGCCGAGACAGGAGGATTGCTCCAAGTCTGAGGACAGCCTGGACTACGGAGTGAGACTCAGGAAGTCGAGCGCCAGGCAGGCGGTGGTCCTCCGGGACGGGAGTTCGACCCCAGGGCCCGCCCGCCAGCTGTGCCCTGGCCCACGCGTGCGGACACCACGCCCTCACACACAGTACCCAGTCAGTGCGTGACTACAGCGTGCAAACCACGGGAGCGCGTGGATGAACCGCCCTCACCGGCCGCTGCCCCGCCCACCGCCCCGCGGCCCCGCCCACGGCCCCGCCGCACCTGACGCCCACTCGCCGTCCTCAGCCTCGCAGCGCACGACGTATCCAGTCAGGACCCCCGGGCAGCCGCCCAGCGGGGACGGCGTCCACTCCACGGACACCGAGTCCCCGCTGCGCTTCCTCACCGACACTTGGCGCGGGGTCCCGGCCACCGAAGCTGCACAAAACCCGTCAGCTGCGGGGCTGCTGGCGGGAAGGCCCCGCCCACCGCGGCCCCGCCCACCACGACCACACATAGACACGCCTACCACGATAGCCACCGTCCAGGCCCCACCCACTGCCCGGGCTCCGCCCACCTTCCTAACGCCCGCACTGGGTTCTCCATATAGCCTAGGCCACACCCACTGACCTAGCTCCAACCATAGCACAAGCATTTTGACCGCCCACAGCCCCCAATTCCGCCCACAGCCCTGGCTCCGCCCACAGACCTGATTCCGCCCACAGTCACGGCTCCGCCCACAGCCCTGGTCCTCCCACAGCCCCGGCTCCGCCCACAGCCCCAGCTCCTCCCACAGCCCCGGCTCCGCCCACAGCCCCAGCTCCACCCACAGCCTCGGCTCCGCCCACAGTCCCAGTTCCGCCCACAGCCTCGGCTCTGACCACAGCTCTGGCTCCGCCCACAACCCTGATTCCGCCCACAGCCCGGGCCCCGCCCACAGTTCCGGCCCCGCCCACAGCCCCGACTCCGCCCACAGCCCCGGCCCCGCCCACAGCCCTGATTCTGCCCACAGCCCCGCCCACAGCCCTGATTTTGCCCACAGCCCCGGCTCCGCCCACAGCCCCGGCCCCGCCCACAGCCCTGATTCTGCCCACAGCCCCGGCCCCGCCCACAGCCCCGGCCCCGCCCACAGCCCTGACTCTGCCCGCGTGTCAGGTGACAGACACTCAAACCCACAGACCAGTTACTCACTGTTACCCCCGAAGTAGTAACCGGACAGCACCGTGGACCACAGCAACGGCTTCTCTGGGTTCTTGGAGGCGAAGACAGCGACGTGGTAACAGCCCTCCTGGTGCAGGCCGGGCCCTGAGCTCCAGCTGTGCGTCACTGGAGGGACCAGCAGAGCGGGCGCTGAGTCCACCGCCCTGCACTGTCAGTGTGCCTAGAAAGCTCCTACTCATGCCTCAAAGCCTCAGCCTCTTCTCCTGGACCCCTCATCCCGTCCCTCCAGCCTCTGCACTGCGGAGGAGTTCAGCTCGGGGCGGAGGTCTCAGGATAAGACGGGATCATCCGCTCCTTCTCCGACCCCATGGACTCGCCACCCTCCCTGGCGAGCGGGTGTTTAAATCTCCGCAGGACGTGAGACTCTTGACCCCGGGCGTGACCGCCAGTCTGCGGAGTGACCTACCCGTGGCGGCCGGGCCCCCGGCGGCCGGCCCAATCAGGGCGCAGTGGGCGTGGCTCCTGCCCGGGCCCAGGGCCTGCCGCTCCACGCAGTAGGCGGTGCCGGGGGCCTGGGCCGCCCAGTGCACGGATGTCCCGTCGTCTCCCACGCTGACATTCGGGGTCCTCATCCCGGGGGGGAGCTCTGAGTGTGACAAGGGCCGCCGGCGCGTCAGCGACAACGCACACCCACACTCGGCCTCCAGCTCCGAGGAGTCCCCGGCATTTACTGAGCGCCAGCTGTATGCCAGGCCGGTACTTGCAGGAGCCCCTGTTTACAAATGGGGCTCTGCTCTTCGCTCTTGCTTTTGTTTCGAGACAGGGTCTCTCTGTCGCCCTGGCTGTCCTGGAACTGCTCTGTAGCCCAGGCTGGCCTTGAACTCACAGAGATCCCCCTGCCTCTGCCCACCGAGTGCTGGAACTAAAGGCGAGCGCCGCCGCCGCCCTGTTTCACACACTGGGCTGAGGCCCGTGGCCGGCCGTGTGTCCCCACCAACGCCCGGACTCGGCCAGGCCAGCACCAACAGGCCTGTGCGCTCCAGCCCGGCCGCGGGCTCCTTGGCCAGGGCGCCGGGTGCGAGGCCGAAGGTGCTGCTGTGAGACCCGGAGCTTGGAATCCCCCTGCCTCTGCTCCTGAGTGCTGGGGTCACGGTTACGCGCCACTGTGCCCAGCCGTGGGTCTCCCTTTCGGTAGATAATACTTCAGGGGCTGCCAAGATGGCAAAGCAGGTGATGGCCACGGCTGCCGGCCTGGCAGCCTGGGTTCGATCCCCGGGCCCTGTCCTCCACGCACACACCCCGGCAACTGTGCCCGCACCAAACGGTGAGCTTTCTCGGGAAAGAAACTCGGGAAACTGCACAGGGGACCGTGCAACACGAACCTGTCACCGCGGCACCTGGGAGGCCGAGGCAGCAGCCTGACTCCAGGCCAGCCTCAAAGGGCACAGTAACACTTCCCATCCTCCTGCGGTGGGGGGTGGGGGGTGGGGGGTGGGGGACACGGCCAGGCACCTGCAGCTCCCACGGGGCCCGGAGGCCGTCGGACCCCGGGGCTGGGGCCGGCTCTGCGCCCAGTCAGATTAAGATGCACCGACGACTGAATTCTCCGACGCCGTCTTAGCCTCACTGTGTGTGTGTGAGGAGCGGGGCCTCGCACGTGCTGGGTGTGCAGGATCGAACCCGTGCCCCCGCCCCCGGGCCCTGGCACCTGAGACATTTTGGGCAGGAAGGTGCCACGTCTGGCTGGGGCTGAGGCCGAAGCGAGTCTTGGTGACCACTACCAGGTCGTAGGCGGCCCCGGAGAGCTTCAGCGGCTTGCCCAGGGACACGGTCTTCGAGGTCTTCCTCTGACACGTGCAAGACAGCATGTGCACGCGCACCAAGTGCTGCGCCTGCGCACCAGGCCCGACTCCCCGGCAACCCTCGGGGACAGCGGGCTGCGCGGCCTGCAGAGCAGGAGACGGGCATGGGGACCGGGACTCAGCCTGGAGAGCCCGGGACGCCAGGGGCGCGCCCTCCCCGCTCACACCGCCTCCACAGCTCCCGTACTGACAGAGACCTTGAATGCCTCCCCCTCCTGCGGCCACCTCCCCTGTGCTGTGGTGACAGCTGCTGGCCACCATGCCCAGCCAACCTCGAGTTGACCCCAAAACCTGTGGCCTCTGCCACGCCCGCTCTCCTCTGCCCCGGCCAACCACAGCCCAGGCTGGCCCGGTCACCTGCGCCTGCATGGTCAGATTCCGCCTTCCACCTTGGCCCAGGGGCTCCACCAGGAACTTGACCTCAGGCTGGGGAAAGGGTTCTGCAAGGAGAGGGAGACAGTCCCAGAAACAGGAAGGACGGGGTGGCCGCCCTCCTCCCGCCCTCCTGTGCCTGAAGTCTGAAACTTGCTTCCACATCCTTTGTTCCTTTTGAGAGGGTCGGGCTATGGAGCCCAGGCTGACCTCAAAACCACAATCCTCCTGCCTCAGCTTTCCTGGCGTTGGGATGATTGACATGTACCGTCCCACATGGCTCTGTGGACCCTTTCCTGGTGCTTGTAACCCAGGGCCTCTCACCAGGTGGAACACACACAGAGCTGCTCCAGCTGCTCCAGGGACCCCCAGGGGCCCCCGAGGAGAGCCGCTGCCGCCGCCGTATCTGGAATTCCTGGGCCATGCTCTCCGAAGGGCAGAGGCAGGACTCTGGGGAGAGGCAGGGTATGGGTCACAGCGTGGGCAAACTGGGGCTGACCAACTGCGTGCTCCACTGTCCCCGGCCCCTCTGGCCGCCTCTGCTCCTTTGCTGGAGCCCTGCCCCCACCCCCACCCCCACCCCCACCACGACCCTGGTTCTTTTACACCTCACTCTGTGGATTACAGAATAGGAATAAACCCACAATGAGCCACAGGGCAGGCTATGAGCCCTGCATACAGTAGGAGATTCATTAATGCTTACCAGAACTGCTGCCATGAATGTCCTCAATCACACCTAAGCCAGAGTTATTCTGGGGTCCACAGTCACCCTAAAAGAGAAAGAGATTGGGTGTATGACTGGTTTTAACTTTGTGACCCAGAAATGAGCTGGGGAGGGGTGCTCCAGCAGGGAGGCCACCATCAGATCTGAGGACTGTGTGTGTGTGGGGGGTGCTCCAGCAGGGAGGCCACCACCAGATCCCAGGACTGGGGGGGGGTGCTCCAGCAGGGAGGCCACCACCAGATCCCAGGACTGGGGGGGTGTGCTCCAGCAGGGAGGCCACCACCAGATCTGAGGACTGTGGGGGGTGTGCTCCAGCAGGGAGGCCACCGCCAGATCCCAGGACTGGGGGGTGTGCTCCAGCAGGGAGGCCACCACCAGATCCCAGGACTGGGGGGTGTGCTCCAGCAGGGAGGCCACCGTCAGATCCCAGGACTGTGGGGGGGGTGCTCCAGCAGGGAGGCCACCACCAGATCCCAGGACTGGGGGGTGTGCTCCAGCAGGGAGGCCACCGCCAGATCCCAGGACTGGGGGGTGTGCTCCAGCAGGGAGGCCACCGCCAGATCCCAGGACTGTGGGGGGGGTGCTCCAGCAGGGAGGCCACCACCAGATCCCAGGACTGTGGGGGGGGGTGTGCTCCAGCAGGGAGGCCACCACCAGATCCCAGGACTGTGGGGGGGATGCTCCAGCAGGGAGGCCACCACCAGATCCCAGGACTGTGGGGGGGGGGGGTGCTCCAGCAGGGAGGCCACCACCAGATCCCAGGACTGTGGGGGGGGGGGTGCTCCAGCAGGGAGGCCACCGCCAGATCCCAGGACTGGAAGGGAGTGGGAAGGCAGAACCACCAGCTCTGGGGATGCAGACCCCAGCTGGGTGATATTGATGGTGCTAAGGTGACCTTTGACCTGGGCAACACACTCACCAATGTCCAATTTGTGGTGGGCGTCCGGCGTCTGAACTGCACCTCAGCCTGGACCTCATCGGAAACATTCCAATCCAGGCGTAACTGGCCGTCTGAACGAGACACTTTGATGTCTCCCAGGGGAGGGCTGACCTTGGCTGGGGGGGAGACATGCCCCTGACTTGAGCGCAAATCAGAAAGTTTGCCCGGTACCAGCCGTGGCGGTGCCCTGCTGAGGGACCCTGCACACCTAGCTGAGGCCGGCATTCTGTACCGAGTTAGGGGACAGGGGTCTTGTCTCAGCTTTTGTTTTTGTTTATCCAGTCAGGGTCTCTTGTAGCTGAGGCTGGCCTTGAGCTCATGATCCTCCTGCCTCCCAAGAGCAGGCGTGACAAGCGAGCACCCCCATGACTGATTTATGGGGTGATGGGACAAAATCTTAGGGCTCCGCGCATGCTAGGCTCTTGTCTTCCTGCTGACTTATGTATTGTATTAAGGGGCTGGAGAGATGACTCGGAGCTTAAGAGCACCTGGGAGAACCCAGCTTCGGTTCCCAGCACCCACATGGCAGCTCACAACTGTCTGTAACTGCAGCTCCAGAGGATCCAGCACCCTCTTCTGACCTCGCTGGGCACCAGACATGCAGGCAAAACATACACACATGTAAAAAATAAATAAATAAGCCTCAGAGAACAAAACACTGGGGGCATGATAAGAGGTGGAGGCCCTGCCTAAAATCCCCCAGTGAGGGGCTGGGGTGTGGCTCCAGGTAGAGTATGAGGAAAATCCCGGTCCCATCCTCAGCCTTATCCATCCCCCTGAAACAAACATCTTGCTGGAATATGTTCCCACTGACAAGTGAACCTCTTTCTGCCCTGGTTAATTGTCTGCATCTGGGAGTTCACTCCAGTGGAAGGGTGCTCAGTCCCCCCTCACTAGCCTGCCCACATCCGTCCCTGAACCTGCCCACAACCCACATCCTCACACACGCACGAACACCCAGTACAGGACTCTGTCAGAGATACGCTGAGTCATGAAAACACGGTTCCCAGGGGGGCTCACAGGACTGTGGGGAGCAGAGGAGCCCAGCGCCGGGGTATTCCCACGCAGCAAGACACAGTGCTGCCTGGAGCACCTTGTGTCACAGGGCTATGTCCTAGACCTGGGGTGACGGAGGGACAGGTAAGACAGAGAGCTCACTCCAGTGGAACAGGTACAGGGATATCGCCAGAGACTTCAGGGTCCGGTTGCCGAGCCGAGACTCCACCCAGAACGTGACATTGGACAGCACAGGGACACCAGCCTGCTCGGAGAACTGCACAGCCCTGGACCGGCCTGCAGGGAAGTAGCAGCATCGCCCACTTCCAAAGCTGCAGGAGAGTCAGTGATGAGTCAGAGGAGTGGGTGGGCGGGTGGGGGTGAGGGGATGGCAAGAGAACCGTAAAGGGAGTGTGAGAATGAAGAAAGACCAGAAAATGAGTCGGGCATTGCTTAATCTCAGCACCCGGGAGGCAGAGGCAGGTGGATCTCTGTGAGTTCCAGGCCAGCGTGATCTACAGAGTGAGATCCAGGACAGCCAGGGGTACACAGAGAAAGCCTGTCTCTAAAAACCAAAAGGGGAAAAAAAAAAGACTAGAAAACAACATGCTCTCTCTCCACCCCTTGTAGTGACATGCTCTCTCTCTCCACCCCTTGTAGTGACACGCTGTTTCTCTAACCATCTTACATGACAAAGATTGGCAGGAATCACGTTAATCATGAGCTCACATGCAGATCTTGGCTGTGGGGATCTGGGGGACATGTGAGGTTGGGGGGATGGGTCCTCACCAGCACCTCAGGAAGTGAGTGACATTGTCCTCAGAGCCGTCATACTGCCAGGAGCATTCATACTCGGCTCCGGAAACCCTGTAGCAGCTCAAGTTCCTGGGTCCTGACAAGGAGCCTGAGAGAGATTATGGAAGTCTGAGAAGTGGGGTTCTCCCAGCAGACAGCACCCCGCATGCCCAGCATCCCTTGCCCTCGTCCTGCCTCCCTGTTTGCCCTGGATTTTTTTTTTTTTTCCTGAGACAGGGTTTCTCTGTGTAGCTTTGCGGCTTTCCTGGAACTCACTCTGTAGACCAGGCTGGCCTCAAACTCACAGAGATCCGACTGCCTCTGCCTCCCGAGTGCTGGGATTAAAGGCGTGCGCCACCACCACCCGGCGCCCTGGAATTTTTTTAAGCAGTGGATTTGGAGCGTCTCTATTTGGTTCCTTTTGTGAAATTTGTTAATAAATAAAAATGTCCCACAGAGTGAGAACGCATAGCAGGTGATTTCCCAAACGCTGGGCCACGTGAATAACAGGGACTTAAACCCTGTGGCCAGGCCCAAAGGAGAGGGGTTGAGGGGACCTGTGCTCAGGGCAGTGCCTGGAAGGGACAGGCAGGGGCGGCTGTGCGGGGCCTGGGGACTGCCTGGCAGCAGGACATGGAAATACACGTGGGGACAAGATGGGCAGAGCCTGGTGTGGCTCTCAGCCTGGCGGGGCTGTGCCAGACCTGAGGCTCCATCTGGGGGCAGCGGCAGCTTCTCAAAGCAGCAGCTGCCAGCTCTGCAGGAGGCTGAAAGACAAGAGAAAACGACGGGGTGTCACAGCACAGCCGGACGTGTGAGCCTGGGGAGGGCGCGGGGTGGGCAGCAGCCTGCCTACCTCCTTTCCAGTCGCAGACCCCCAACTCGCCAACCCCCACGCACCCTTACCCCCCCAGCCCACCCCGCCCTCCATCTCCCCACCCACCCAGCACACATCTATCCACCCGTCCGTGGGGCCGTCTGTCTGTCCGCTCCTCGGCCCTCACCCCTCTCACTACCGCAGATTCTAAGCCCCTCGGGTCCCTGTGGCTCCAGGGCGCACAGCATGGGACGGGGACAGACGGGACAGTGCTGCCCTAGAGCACCCGGTGGCAGGGGAGGTTGGGGCACCCGGTGAGTGCACCTGGCTGCTGGCAGTGGGGACTGGGGACAGTCCCCCCCCCCCCCGAGATGGTGCTGCCCTGTGAGCAGATTCACTGTGGTGCTTGGGCCCCGGGGTCTGCCCTGCGTGAGAGTGTAGGACACGACAGGCGAGGATCTGCCCCACCCTGGGAGCCTCCTGCATTCTGAGGTGACGGGCACGCTCCTCATCCGTCCTGTTCTCTCTGGTGACCCCAGCCCTGCAGCTGAAGCCATCCTTCCCGGCCATGCTGTCCCCATAGGAATCTGGGGTCCCTGCCTCTCGCTGTGAGTCTCAGCACATGGGGTCCCCGAAGGCCTGCGGCCCTTTGGTGTGAAGTTCTGACCACCGTCACCCGTTGTTCCCTCCATCAAGCTGAAATGGAGGACCAACAAGCTGCAGATCTCTGGCCTAAGGAATGCAGAGGCACAGAGAGGCATAGAATGTGCCCAGAGTCACACAGCAGCCATGACAGGTGTCCTGAGAGCCTGCCTGTACAGACCCCATGTAAGTGTGTGTGCTGTGGGCTGTGCGCGTGCTGTGGGCTGTGCGCGTGCTGTGGGCTGTGGGCTGTGCGCGTGCCGTGGGCTGTGCGCGTGCCGTGGGCTGTGCGCGTGCTGTGGGCTGTGCGCGTGCTGTGGGCTGTGCGTGTGCTGTGTGCTGTGGGCTGTGCGTGTGCTGTGTGCTGTGGGCTGTGCGCGTGCTGTGGGCTGTGCGCGTGCTGTGGGCTGTGCGTGTGCTGTGTGCTGTGCGTGTGCTGTGTGCTGTGGGCTGTGGGTGTGCTGTGGGCTGTGCGCGTGCCGTGGGCTGTGCGCGTGCTGTGGGCTGTGCGTGTGCTGTGTGCTGTGGGCTGTGGGTGTGCTGTGGGCTGTGCGCGTGCCGTGGGCTGTGCGTGTGCTGTGTGCTGTGTGCTGTGGGTGTGCTGTGGGCTGTGCGCGTGCTGTGGGCTGTGCGTGTGCCGTGGGCTGTGGGTAGAGCATGCGACCTCACATGTGCCTGCCTGCGAGGCCTTAAGCTGTTCTTATTTAAAAAGATGGGAAATGGGAACGGCCAGGCCCCTCAGCAGAGGAGAAAAATCAGACCAGTCAGACCCCCCCCTGCGACCATGGCCAAGGAGACCCCGTCTGACAGACGGCGCTCGCCCTGGACCTGGGCCTGCAGCTCTCCTCAGACCCCCTGCCTACCCGGGAGATGTGGGAAGAGCACTGGGGAGGCAGGACTCACCACTCAGCCGGCAAAGCGGGAGGAAGATGAGGATGTGCAGGCTGGTCCCCCGCAGCCCCATCAGGTCCACGGGGAGCCGTGGGGCTCCAGGAGCTTCTGCACTGCCAAAGGGGCCAGCCACCCTGTCCCCGCCCCGGAACACGCTGACGCTGAGAAGGGGGGAAAAGAAAAGAAAGAAAAACCCACTGTTTCCCCTGCCAGTCAAAGGGAAAGTGAAAGCCAGGAAGACAACCGCCCGCCCCCCCCAGGTGTTACCCCCATACCTGGTTTATGGGGAGCTAGGCATGGAGCCCAGGCCTTCCTGCAAGCTAGGCAGAGGCCTAGAAACTGAGGCCCAGCCTGTGGGTTACATTTTAAAGTCCTTTTCCCAGTGCCTGGGAGGCTGAGACAGGGGCTGGCCGTGGATCTGTGGGCATCCTGGCCGTGGATCTGTGGGCATCGTGGGCGTGGATCTGTGGGCAGCCTGGCGGGGGATCTGTGGGCATCCTGGGTGTGGATCTGTGGGCAGCCTGGCCGTGGATCTGTGGGCAGCCTGGCCGTGGATCTGTGGGTATCCTGGCCGTGGATCTGTGGGCATCCTGGCCGTGGATCTGTGGGCAGCCTGGGCGTGGATCTGTGGGCATCCTGGGTGTGGATCTGTGGGCATCCTGGGTGTGGATCTGTGGGCATCCTGGGCGTGGATCTGTGGGCATCCTGGCCGTGGATCTGTGGGCATCGTGGGTGTGGATCTGTGGGCATCCTGGGCGTGGATCTGTGGGCATCCTGGGCGTGGATCTGTGGGCATCGTGGGCGTGGATCTGTGGGCATCGTGGGTGTGGATCTGTGGGCATCCTGGCCGTGGATCTGTGGGCATCCTGGCCGTGGATCTGTGGGCATCGTGGGTGTGGATCTGTGGGCAGCCTGGCCGTGGATCTGTGGGCAGCCTGGCCGTGGATCTGTGGGCATCCTGGCCGTGGATCTGTGGGCATCGTGGGTGTGGATCTGTGGGCAGCCTGGCCGTGGATCTGTGGGCAGCCTGGGCGTGGATCTGTGGGCAGCCTGGCTGTGGATCTGTGGGCAGCCTGGGCGTGGATCTGTGGGCATCCTGCTCTCTATAGACTGTCTCAAAGGAAAGAAAGAAAGAATTTTAAGTGGCATGACTTTTCTCTGGAGATGTTCTCAGAGCCAGGCACATGGCGCACGCCTTTAGCCCCAGCCCTCGGGAGGCGGAGGCAGCAGATCTCTGAGTTCCAGGACAGCCTGGGCTACACAGAGTTAAAAAGTCTCCAGATTTCCAGGGCTCCGACAAGGGACACAGATAATAATCTTTTGGGGAAACTGAGGCCATGTGGATGAGCTCATGGTGCTTTGGGAGGCCCCTTGGGGAGGAGCTGCGTCCCCAGCACAGCTGGCCGGTTGGCCCAGGGTCAAGCGTCCTGCAGGCTGAGGTCAGAGCCTCCGGGACAATGCAGCTGTGTCTCGGCCCTGGCGCGGGGCCGCCTGGGCCCTGTGACCCCAGCAGACCGACTCCAACGGCCTGGGAGGGAGGGCGGGGGCAGGGGCACGCTCGGCTGGCTGAGGCAGGAGGATTGCCAGGGAGGGAGGAAGCTCGAGGGAGACTGTAGCGTGGGCTTCGCCCTCCGGTGTTCCAGCACAGCCCTGACTCGGGGAGGCTGCCGCGGCTCCACGCCGTAGCGGGGAAACTGAGTCCGGAAGGCCCAGCTGGAAGCAAGGAGGTGGATTCAAGGAGCTCCGCGGGGCCAGCCTTGGCTCTTTTGGCCTTCCCCGTGTCCGCCAACGTTGCCGTCACACGCACGCACACGCGCACGTAAGCACACACGCACACACACTGGCACACACGCGCACGCACGCACACACACCTGCCTCAGTTTCCCCAACAAGCTGCATAGGAAGGCAGGCCAGGCTGCGTGGTGAGGGCTGGGTGTGCACGGCCTCGTGGGCCTGGTCACACTGAGCCTGGAGGGTGTGAGGAGGGGGGTCGGGGCGAGGTCATGGCCCCGCGTGTGTCTCCCCCCCCCCCAGCGGGACTAACCGCCCGGGCGCCCCACTTCCGGGAGCGGCCAGCGGGAAGAGACAGGCCGCGCCGGTGACACCGCTGCCCGAGCCCCGGTCCCGGGGGGGGGGGGGGGCGGGGGGAGTTCGCGGGGGCCGGGGGGGCAGTTCGCGGGGGCTGGTGGGGGAGTTCGCGGGGGCCGGGGGGAAGCTCGCGGGGGCCGGGGGGGAGCTCGCGGGGGCCGGGGGGGGAGCTCGCGGGGGCCGGGGGGAGTTCGCGGGGGCCGGGGGGGAGTTCGCGGGGGCCGGGGGGAGTTCGCGGGGGCCGGGGGGAGCTCGCGGGGGCCGGGGGGAGCTCGCGGGGGCCGGGGGGGGCCGGGGGAGAGCTCGCGGGGGCCGGGGGGGAGCTCGCGGGGGCCGGGGGGAGTTCGCGGGGGCCGGGGGGGGCCGGGGGGGAGCTCGCGGGGGCCGGGGGGAGTTCGCGGGGGCCGGGGGGAGTTCGCGGGGGCCGGGGGGAGCTCGCGGGGGCCGGGGGGGGCGGGGGGGAGCTCGCGGGGGCCGGGGGGAGCTCGCGGGGGCCGGGGGGAGTTCGCGGGGGGTGAGCTCGCGGGGGCCGGGCCGCCGTCCTCTGCGACAGGGCCGTCAAAGGCGTGCGCACCGGGAGGCGGTGCTGGCGCTGGGTCCTCTCGCCCGCAGCCCACGGCGCTCCGGGGCGTCCGTGTCACGGCTCGGGCTGTCCTCGAACCCGCGACCCGCTCCTGGGGACGCGGGCCCTGTCCACGAGCGGCCCGACTGCCCTGCGTGGGGCCCGCGGACGTAGTCACTGCTTGGCGGGCGCCTGGCGAGGCCACACGGCCCTGGGGAGCCCGCCCGCAGGTGCGCACCCGAGAAGGGAGCACGTTCGCCACAACAGCCGTCGCGGCCCCGGGAGCTGTCGGGGGCCAGTGGCCCTGAGGGGTAAGCCAGGGAGCAGCACAGCCCCGGAATACTACTCAGCCCTCAAAAGGGAGGGCGCACCCGACAGCGCTACGAGGTAGGTGGGGTCTGAAAAGCGTGAAACGGAGTGACAGCCCCCAGGGGAGGGGCCGCCGGGTCCGACGGTGGCGGGTGGGGGTGACGAACGCACTGAGGGCCGTGTTGGTTTGGGGCAGGCTCAGGTAGCCCAGGCCGGCCTGTGCAGCCGGAGATGACCCCCGGTGCTGGGAGGAGGGGGAGCGCCCGGGAGGTGACGCACGCGGGCCGGGCATGCGGCGCCCCGGGTTCGAGCCCAGCGCCTGCCAGCCCAGCGCTTCGGAGGCAGGGGGATCACCGGCAGCTACCCAGGGAAGCCAGCCTGGGCTACCCGGGACCCTGTGCAGGAAATTCTAAAAACAAACAGGTTTAAAAACCAACTTTTCCTTGAAGGCGGCGTCGTGGGGCGTCGCCGCGCGGAGGCGGCGGCGGGCGGCAGCCTCACGCCGGGGGCGTGGCCTCGCGGTCCGCCCAGCCGCGGCGCCAGCTCCGGGCCCGGGGGCGGGGCATCCCGGGTCAGCTGACCCGCAGGGCCAATGACGCTCGGGGGCGGGGCCGGCGGGCTGGGGTGGGGCGGGCCCGGGGGCGGGGCAGCCCGGGTCAGCTGACCCGCAGGGCCAATGACGCTCGGGGGCGGGGCCGGGGCCGGCGGGCTGGGGCGGGGCCAGTCCGGGGCGGGGCCTGCGGACTGGGGCGGGGCCAGGCCGGGGCGGGGCCGGCGGGCTGGGGCGGGGCCAGGTCGGGGCGGGGCCGGGGGCGGGGCCGGCCGCGGGACACTCCGCGATGGACGAGCCGAGCCTCCTGCGGCGCCGCGGGCTCCAGGTGAGTCCGGGCGCGGGCGGAAGCCGGACAGTGCCTTCGGGGCGGGGAAACTGAGGCAGGGAGCGGGGAAGGCCGGGAGCGTCCGACGGCGCCTCTGCCCACCTGCTGCCCAGAGCGTTTTGCGCGCGATGGGAAGGGAGGGGTCTCCGTTAGACGGATGGGGAAACTGAGGCTGGGCCTCTGTCGTGGGGAGAAGGAGCTCCAGGGTCCCCACACCACATCCGCCGGAGGCGCCGGGCTCCAGCGTGGACAGAGCCCGCCGCCGGCCAGGGTCGCTGCTGGCAGCCAGCGCCCTGCCTCCGGCCCCTTCCACAGAGGTGGAAACCGAGGCTCTGCTGGGGAAGGCCCCGCACCCCCGAGGCTGCCTGGCTGGGATTCCGTCTCTCCGGGTCACAGATCTGTCTGACAAGGACCTGCAGGGTGGGAGTGCGGTGGCTTCTCCGAGCCCCGTTTCCCGGTTTACCGCGTTCGCGCCCCCGGGAAGTAAGAAGGAAGTCCAGGGCGCTCCGGTGTGGGACTCCGGGAGACGAGGCCGCTGGCCTCCCTGGGCCTCAGTTTCCCCATCTGTAACATCTGCAAAGCTCAGGAGGCTTGCCTGGTGGTTCTGCGGCCGGGACCACACGGCTGCGCGGCCGACGGGTGTGCGGTGGGGACCCGCGCGCCGCCGGTCGCCTGCGTCTATTGAGCGCCTGCTGTGTGCGGAGCCCCAGCTGCCCTAGCCCCGGGCGGGGAGGGCGGGGAGGGCCGGGGAGGGCCGGGCACAGAGCGGGCAGTTTGGGGAAGTAAAGATTAAGTAAAGCGGCGCAGCGGGGCAGTGGGGCGGGCCCCCGGGAGCCCAGGAGCGGAGACCGGGGAGGCCGGAGTGGGGGCGGGGCTGGCGCGCGGCGGGTGTCGCCCGGGCCCCGGGTAGATGCGAGCCCGCCCTCGGCCTCTTAAAATAGAGACGCCGCCTCCGGGTGAGCAAATGGGGGCGCGGCTGACGTCAACAAGCGGGACCTGTTCCACGTGGGGGGTAAATATTTTCGGATGACAGGGCCCACGTTACACACGGGAAAACCGAGGCCCGGAGCTGTATGGCGCTCCTCAGGGTCAGGGGGTGGAGGGGAGCGCAGGGAGGACCGGAGGGCGGCTGGCAGGTCTGCAGCCGGGCGTGGTGGCGCACACCTTCAATCCCAGCAGGGTCCCGGGGTTCAGGGACAGCCTGGGAAACCAAACTGCCAAACAATCCCGAAAAACCCATTTCTCAGAGCTGGGCGCGAAGGATAGGGGTGAGCGGGCGGCGAGAAGGCTCCCAGGGTAAAGGCGCGTGCGACCAAGCCTGAAGACCTGGGTTCAGTCCCCAGAATGGACATGGAGATTGAACAATGGACAATCTCCAGTGTGTCCTCCGATGTCCACGCATGCGCCGAGGCAGCCGGCGCACACACAAACACACGTGTAGGGTAAAAACGAACAGACAAGCTAAACTTCGGTGCCAAGACAATGTGGAGCCACGGCAGGTGCCGGGACGGGGACAGAGGACTTCGAGGACACCGGAGTCAGGCCGAGTGGGATGCTACCAACAAAGCTGCTGCAGGACCCCAAGGGACAGCCTGGGCTAGAGTGGGCTCGCGGCCACCTTTGTAAACATCGTCTGTGAGTCAGGAAACAGGCAGGGGGTGCGCGCCTGCAGTCGGAAACCCGGGCCTCTGGAGCCACAGCTGCCCGTCACAGCCAGTCCAGCGCTTGGGACTGCAGGGCCAAGGCTCCGCTCCTAAGTGCCGGAGGAAAGCCCTCTGGCAGCCAGGGCTGGCCCTGACGCCTAACCGTCTTGTTCCCACCTCCCCAGTGGGCACCGCCAGGCCTGGTTGATGGCGCTGGGGACGGAGCCCAGGCTGGCCCGCCGCAGCCTCCGGGGTGGCTGGAAGACAGGCGATGCTCTCCCGTGCCACAGGATAGCCCTGTGCTCACGGCGATGGTGCATGCCTCTCATCCCGGGAGCTGGGAAGCTGAGGCAGGAGGATAGTGTCGAGTTCTGAGGCCTGCCGGGGCTACACATCGCCACCAGTCCGGTAACTCCCGAGGGTGGAATCGGGTGCCGCCCTGCCCCCCGTGGTCAGTTTCCTCCGTCATAAAATGGGCAGCCCACCGTGGCCCTGGCTCCTCCACTGTGTGATCCCTAGGCTGGGCCACACTTGGGGGACAGCACTGCAGCCCTCGGGGAGCCACGAAATACAACAGCTAAAGGGCACACCAAGTCGGTGGCTCAGTTGGTAGGGTGCTTGTGACTCAGTAGGTAGAGTGCTTGTAGCTCAGTGGGTAGAGTGCTTGTAGCTCAGTGGGTAGAGTGCTTGTTGCTCAGTGGGTAGAGTGCTTGTGGCTCAGTGGGTAGAGTGCTTGTGGCTCAGTGGGTAGAGTGCTTGTTACTCAGTTGGTGGAGTGCTTGTGGCTCAGTGGGTAGAGAGCTTGTTGCTCAGTGGGTAGAGAGCTTGCCTAGCACGCATGAAGCCCTTTGGCCCCAGCACTGCTTACACTGAGTGTGCCACCCTAGCATTCAGGAGGTGGAGACAGGAGCCTCAGGGGTTCGAGGCCAGCCCGGACTGCGAGAGAGGGATTCCGTCTCAACAACAAAAGCAGCCGTCAGAGGGCCAAGGCGACACCTGCCGCGGTCCCAGCACTCTGGAGGCTGAGGCAGGAGGATAGCGCGTTCCAGGCCGTCGGCCTGCGCTGGGAGGGAGGCCCCAAGTAAACAACAGCCGGGAGCGGGGCGTCCGTGTGGGAGCTGCCGCGGGAGCAGCTGGCGAGCGGGCCGGGAAGCAGATGGCGCGGGACGCGGCGGGCCCACTTCCGGGAGCTTTCCGGCCCGGCACCCCCCGCCAAGTCCACCCTGGGGGGCGGTGAAGATGCCGACGCCGGGTTCTGGGGGACCCGCTGTTTTCTAAGCGCGTTAACGGGCACAGAGAGGCTGGGCGGTTGACGGACGCCACACAGCAGCTTCCCCAGATCCGAAGACGACGGCCACGACTGGGGTGCCAGGCTGGACCCCCGAGCCCTGTTTCCGGCGTGGTATTGGGGGGAGCCGGAGTAGGACACACTCCTCCGTGAGTGGACGGGACAGGAGACCGGGCAAGCCCTGGCCGCCCCGGAGTCCAGCGCCGGGCGGTTTCCGCCCCCTCCAATTGGCTGTGGGGCGGTGACGTCACTGGTTGCCATGGCAAACACCCGCCCAGGGACGTGGGCAGCCCGGAGCCCACCACTGTAAAAATAGTCGTGTCCCCAGAGCGGCCGCCCCATGAGTTGGTCTGTGGGGCTGGGGTGTCTGGAGAGTCGTTTCCCAGCTCTCCCGCTCTGCGTCCGTGCCTCAGTTTCTCAACCTGTGCAGTTGATTCTGCTTAGGCCGGTGCTGGACTGAACCAGCGGGAGTCCCCTGGTTAGGAGTGCAGCCTTCCTGATATCAAGGCCACCTCACAGCCGGGGAAACCGAGGCATGGCTTCTCTAAAGCCTTCGCAAGGCCGCACGCAGGTCTGGGAGTTAGGAGATTCTAACAGAGCTTTCTCAAAATTTGAAAAAACCTCCCTGACGCAGGTGGTGGCACAAGTCTGTCCTAGCAGCAGCTGAGAAGCTGAGGCAGGAGAATCACAGTGAGTTCCAAGCCACCCTGGGCTACATACAGAGGGTCTGTCTCCAACACAAAGCCGGGGTCAGCTACAGTCAAACCACCTGTCACGAAGGTGGCAGCCTGTCTCCTTCCCTGGGATCCACAGTGAAAAAGGGAAACCCAGTCTTGCAAGTTGTCACACATGTCCGTCACACACACACACACACACACACACACGCACACACACACACCACAGATTTTCCATATGTGTGTGCCCAAAAAGGACTCTGCAGTCCCAGTGGACCGCGAGGCCAGGGTTCTCTTTCGCCTTGTTGTGTACAGGACCGAAGCCAGGGTTGGTGTAACCAATTTGTTTGTTTTTCGAGACAGGGTTTCTCTGTGTCACCCAGGTTGTCCTGGCACTCGCTCTGTAGCCCAGGCTGGCCTCGAACTCAGGGATCCGCCTGCCTCTGCCTCCTGAGTGCTGGGATTAAAGGCACACCTGGCCAGTCTTGAACTCTATGTTCTCCTGCCTCATCCTCCCAAATGCAAGAATCAGGCATGAACACATATGACACAAATGTCTCTCGGAGTCTAGGTTGGTCTCCTTGAATTTGCTGTGTAGATGACCTTGAACTCTTCTTTGTTGTTGTTTTTTTTTTTGTTTTTGTTTTTTTTGAGACATGGTTTTCTCTGTGTGGCCCTGGCTGTCCTGGAACTCACTCTGTAGATCAGGCTGGCCTCGAACTCACAGAGATCCACCTGCCTCTGCCTCCCGAGTGCTGGGATTAAAGGCGTGCGCCACCACCGCTCAGCTCTTTTCATTCTTTTTATTACATTCATTCATTCATCATGTGTGGGCACGTGCACGCACAAACACTTGTGAACGAGGACAACCTCCAGGGGTCGGTTCTCTCCTTCCACTGTGTGGGTCCCGGGTGGTCAGGTTTGGCAGCAAGCACCACCTACCCACTGAGTCGTCTTGCTGACCCCATTTGTATTTTAAATAGTCCGCTGGCCTGCCCCCGCTGGCAGGGTCAAGCACTGGGCTTCGGGCGGCTTGGGAGCGGGCCAGAAATACTCAGGTGAGAGCCGCAGGCCACCCTAGGCAAGGGACGGGTGTGAGCAGGTCTTGACATGGCTGGGCCACGAGAGGCTGATGTGGGGTGTAGTGGGTGGGAGACTTCCCGGGCTGACCCCACTTTCTCTGTCTCGTTTCAGAAAGAGCTGAGTCTTCCACGCCGGGGGCGCGGGTGAGTAATTTATTCAATGATTAATACAACTACAACATTGCCTTTCTTTTGCCGTGTGTGTGTGTGTGTGTGTGTGTGTGTGTGTGTGTGCTCACAAAACTAAAACCAAACAAACAAAAACCGTCCTCCACCTGACTCTTTGAGGCAGGGTCTCTCAATCAAACCCGATCTGTGATGTCCGCCTTCCCAGGCTGGGACTACAGGTGGGCCGCCAGCCCCGTGGGTTCCAGGGACCGAACTCTGGTCCCCACCGTGCACAGCGATCACTTTAACCACTGAGCCTGTCCCCTCCTTTTTTCTTTTGAAAGAATGTTCCTAGCTTGGGATCCGGCCCAAGCATAGTTGGTGGCACCTGCCTGTGATCCCAGCAGCACCCTGGCGGCTGAGAAAGGAAAATTGACAGTTCCAAGCCAGCCTGAGCTACATGAGACCCTGCCTTAAAAAATAAATAAAAATGAAAAAGCCACCGTCTGCAGGGTTTAACTCCACTGTAGCAGATTCGAAAGCCAAAGGCTCTTGAGATTGCTCAGTGCGGGAGGAAACTGCCGTTGTTCTCGGCGCCCAAGGCGGCCCCACAAGTTGTCCTCCGACCTCCGGGTGTGTGCAGAGAGGAACTCCCTTTCACTAAATAAATAAATGTACAGAAAGAAAAAGATTTGATCCTCAGCTCTAGGGAGGAAAAGTTATGAAATATTACCTTCTAACCCGAGTACATTGGAGTGGGCTTGCGTACCCGTGACAGGGACTCGCTTCCTTTCGGCGCCCGCCAACAGAATCCATGAGGCTGGCATCATCTGGGGAGATTCGGAGCTCAAAGAACATTTTGTTCTGTGCGTCCCGGATTTACAGATGGATAAACAAAGCCCGGGGGGTGGGGCTCGCCTCCTGTTCACTGAGAGCAAACAGCCCGGGATACCCCACCTTCACAGGCTGCGTGAGCCTCAGTTGGGGACTGAGGCGCTCCATGTTTTTTTATCTTGTGCTGGGCCCTCCCTGTGGAGAAACAGGGAAGGAGACGATTCAGCCCCTCTGGCTCTCGGGTTCTTTTGTTTGTTTGTTTTTCGAGACAGGGTTTCTCTGTGTAGTTTTGGTGCCTTTCCTGGATCTCACTCTGTAGCCCAGGCTGGCCTCGAACTCACAGAGATCCGCCTGGCTCTGCCTCCTGAGTGCTGGGATTAAAAGGCCTGTGCCACCACCGCCCGGCCTGCTCTCCGGTTCTTAATGGGGACACAAACGGTGAAATGTGTGTGTTCAGGGGAAATTAAACAGAGAGACAGAGAGGCTCTGGGGGTCACTTGGAGGAGGTGAGGTTTGATCTTGGAGAGGACGAGCAGCGGGATGGGGCGCTGTAGGGACAATAGCGTTCCAGAGGGACCGGCGTGGCAAAGGGTGTTACCTGGCAGTGGAGGAAGAGCTGGGTGGGGTAGAGAAGAGACATGGGTTCTGAAAGTGGGGTCTCTGTGGCCCCCAGTCATGCGCACTGTGGCTGGGATGGGGTGGGGCCGGACCTTGCCCTGAGCGCACCGTAAGGGACCGGGGGCGGAGGAGCGCAGTGCACCGACCTCGAGGGTAAAGTGAGGGCCAGAGCCCTCGGGAAGCTGCCAACCCCGCCACCCGTGCTGTGCGTGGCTCGGCCCTGGGCTGGCAGGGACCAGGTGTGTGGGCAGCGGCGATCGCAGGGCCCCGGTCGCCTTTCCTTCCGACGCGTGGCTGGGCGAGCTGAGTGTCCCAGGGCCCGGGTCAGGAGGGCCAGTCTGCAGCCGCCTCCACAGCGAGCGGGGCGCTAGCCTGACTGCGCACGCGCTCCGTCGCTTGGCGCTCAGCCCCGCCGCACCGCGAGAGGCCCCGCCTCTGTCCCCACCCCCAACACAGTTCTTCCGGGTCCCAAGAGCCGGTCCAGAGGCCGAGCCTACTCTGAGGCCCCTGCCTCGAGTCCTGCAAACTGCGATCATGCGCCCCGCCCATCGAACACACTGTGAGGCCACGCCCCACCGGCCACAAGCCGTACTCAGCTAGGCGACGCTAGGCTCCGCCCTCTTTAGAGTACGCTTTTCTCCTCGGAAGCCCCGCCCCGCACCCCATAGCTCCGCCCCGCACCCCATAGCCCCGCCCCGCATCCCATAGCTCCGCCCCGCTCCCATGCCCCAGACCCCAGAAGCCGGGCTCCGCACCCATAGCCCTGCCCACAACCCCGCCCCCAAGCCATAGCCCCACCCACACATGTAGCCCCTCCCGGGCCTTTAGTCCCGCCCCTCGGTCCACCTGCTGCCCCGCCCACCGCCCCGCCCCCACGCCTGCGGCCCCGCCCCGTGGCCCCGCCCCCGCCAGCCTCCGGCGCGCGCGTCCCTCTGTCCATAGTCCCAGCGCTTCTGCTCGCGCCCGGTGCCACCGGGCGTCGGTTCCCTCGGCGCCGCCATGAAGTCCCGCAGGGAGAAATTGCTGATCCCCGCGCTGACGCTCGAGTGAGTACCGAGGCCCGAGCCCCGCGGTGCGGCCCGCGGGAGCCCGCGGGGGTCACGCCAGGTCGCCGCGGGGTCACCGCCGCCTCTGTCTTGCAGTCTGTCGCCGAGCAGCCAGAGCCCCTGCCTGCTGAGCCCCGGCAGCCCGTGCAGCCCGTGCAGCCCGTCGCTGGGCCTGCAGCCCTGGAGGTGAGTGGCGCCGCCCCGCACGCGCCGCCCGCCCGCCCGCCCTCCGCTCGGGCCTTTCACACCCCCTGGCCGCCCCAGGCCTCGGCGTCACCCCCTTCTCGGCTCCCGACCCGCGGGAGCTCCCAGCTGCAGGCTGGGCGCGGGGCAGGTGTCCAGGCGACGCCAGAACTTGAGCCCAACGACTTCCCGAGACAGGTGCCCGGTTCCCAGGGCCCTGCCAGGTTGTGACCTCGAGGACCCGCCGGAAACTCACACGCAAGCTCAACCAGGCTGCGCTAGTCCGAAAGCAGCCAGCTTCCCGAGGGCCGCTCTGCCCGGGCCGGGTTTCCCAGCGGGGGAAACTGAGCCTCAGAGGCAGGCCTGTTGTGATTCCACAAGTCCGGGGGCCAGCGTGGCCACCACACCCTCCTGAGAGTCAGCACCACCTCGGTGACTGCTGGGCCGCTTTCAGAGGCTTACCGCCCGGAAAGTCGGAAAGTCGAGAGTCTTGACTTACCTGAGAGCCATTTACACCTTAGGATGTATGAGCTGCGCCGCACATTGTACGGATTTTAAATGGAGAAGACACATAGCACCATGGGGTCCACACTGAATTCTAGACCATGATTCCCTTCATTCACTCAGGAAACACTTTCTAGGCACCTACCAGCATTCCAGGTAAAAAGTCCAGAGTGGAGAACAAGAATAAGTGAGACCCCAGAGCGTTCTCAGTCGGCTGGAGGAGGTGGGGCCGGGGAACAGGATGACTAATGAATATGTTCAGTGCTGACCTCTTGGGGAGGTGACCGGAGATGTGAGCGGATTTAGGTGAAGAATAGCCCCAGGACTGAGTGTGCGGTGGTCTTGGGGCAGGGTGGGGTTTTTCTTTAACCCGCCTTTCGAGGGGAATACAGGCCTTGTGGGGACTGGGACGTCTGGGGGAAAGCTGGAGTGCCTGGAGCTGGCTGGGTTTGCCCAGTGATAGCCAGAACCTGCTGTCGCCACACTTCTTGAGGAGCAGGTGAAGAGGCCCAGGAGCACCCTGGGAGGTAGTGCGAGAACAGATGCATCTCGGAGCCCTTGGCTCCAACCCATGCGAGGGCAGACCAGAGGGAGGGACCTGGGTTGGGGATGCCTGCGACTGAACAGGTTTTACCTGAAGGAAATGGAGGAGGCACTGTTGCGGAACCAGGTAGTTGCAGTCCCCACCAGAGGGCAGCAGAACCACTGCGCCGGCGGCCACACAGGCCTCAGCTTCTCGCCCCTGCACTGGAACAGGATGGATCTGATTTGTTTAGCGGCACTCTGGTCCAGGTGCTGTAGGAAGAAGATGCTCCTGTGTCCCACAACCCCTAAGGCCCCAGATCTTGTGCAGCCCACCCGCCTCTCCATCTCCATCTCCGCACTTGCCACTGCTCTGCTCAGAGTCTGCTCCCTTCTTTTCACGTTTGAAGGCCTCACCAAGTCCGCAGAATGGAAGCTTGCACGAGCGCTCTATCCTTCCATACACCAGCTCACTCAACTGAAACCACTCAGGGCTGATTTCCTTGGGCTTTTTGTTTTTTGATTTTTTAGATGCTAGGCAAAGGATCTGCATTTCAGCCACGCCCCCAGCCCCTCACTGGGGATTCTAGGCAGGGGCTCCACCCTGACCACGCCCCCAGCCCCTCACTGGGGGATCCTAGGCGGGGCTCCACCCCTGAGCCACGCCCCTAGCCCCTCACTGGGGGATTCTAGGCAGGGCTCCACCCCTGAGCCACGCCCCCAGCCCCTCACTGGGGATTCTAGGCGGGGCTCAACCCTTGAGCCACGCCCCCAGCCCCTCACTGGGGGATTCTAGGCGGGGCTCCACCCCTGACCACGCCCCCAGCCCCTCACTGGGGATTCTAGGCGGGGCTCCACCCCTGAGCCACGCCCCCAGCCCCTCACTGGGGGATTCTAGGCGGGGCTCCACCCCTGAACCACGCCCCAGCCCCTCATTGGGGATTCTAGGCAGAGCTCCACCCTGAGCCACGCCCCCAGCCCCTCACTGGGGATTCTAGGCGGGGCTCCACCCCTGAGCCACGCCCCCAGCCCCTCACTGGGGGATTCTAGGCGGGGCTCCACCCCTGAGCCACGCCCCCAGCCCCTCATTGGGGAATTCTAGGCGGGGTTCCACCCTTGAGCCACGCCCCCAGCCCCTCACTGGGGGATTCTAGGCAGGGGCTCCACCCCTGAGCCACGCCCCCAGCCCCTAACTGGGGATTCTAGGCAGGGGCTCCACCCTGAGCCACGCCCCCAGCCCCTCACTGGGGGATTCTAGGCAGGGGCTCCACCCCTGAGCCACGCCCCCAGCCCCTCACTGGGGGATTCTAGGCGGGGCTCCACCCTGAGCCACGCCCCCAGCCCCTCACTGGGGGATTCTAGGAAGGAGCTCCACCCCTGAGCCACGCCCCCAGCCCCTCACTGGGGATTCTAGGCGGGGCTCCACCCTGACCACGCCCCCAGCCCCTCACTGGGGATTCTAGGCAGAGGCTCCACCCCTGAGCCACGCCCCCAGCCCCTCACTGGGGGATCCTAGGCGGGGCTCCACCCCTGAGCCACGCCCCCAGCCCCTCACTGGGGGATCCTAGGCGGGGCTCCACCCCTGAGCCACGCCCCCAGCCCCTCACTGGGGATTCTAGGCGGGGCTCCACCCTGACCACGCCCCCAGCCCCTCACTGGGGGATTCTAGGCGGGGTTCCACCCCTGAGCCACGCCCCCAGCCCCTCACTGGGGGATCCTAGGCGGGGCTCCACCCCTGAGCCACACCTCTGATCCTTGGTTTGTTTTTTTTTTTTTTTTTTTTTTTAAGATTGATTTATTTATTATGTATACAGTAGTCTGTCTGCATGTGTGCCTGCAGCCCAGAAGAGGGCACCAGATCTCATTACAGATGGCTGTGAGCCACCATGTGGTTGCTGGGAATTGAACGCAGGACCTCTGGAAGAGCAGCCAATGCTCTTAACCGCTGAGCCATCTCTCCAGCCCTGATCCTTGGTTTTTTGAGACAGACGGTTTGTTTTGTTTCGTCTATTGCTTTGTTTGTTTGTTTTTTAGACTTTTAACTCAAGACAGGGTTTCTCTGTGTAGCCCAGGCTGTCCTGGAATTCACTCTGTAGCCCAGGCTGGCCTGGAGCTCGGAGATCTCCCTGCATCTGCCTCCCGAGTGCTGAGATCAAAGGTGTGTGCCAACACTGCCTGGTGAGAGAGCAGATTTTTGGACAGCTTAGGTTGTAGGCCAGCCAGCCTGGCCTCAGACTTTCCGTGATCCTCCTGCCTCAGCCTCAGTAGTGTTGGTGGAAGGAGTGCGCCCTGCTGAGTGCTCTCATCTTCCTGTGTGATTCTGAGTGCTCGTTTCCTTCAGAACTTTGAGACCCTCAAAGGCTTGGCCTGAATCTTTCTGCTCACACTGTATGCTCCGGCAGGTATGCAGCAGGTGCTTACACGATGCTCTGGTGTGGATGAATGGGAAGCAGGCAGAGGAACTCTGCTGTCCTTCGGGGTGGAAGGCCATCTCGAGTTGGCCCTCTAGGACACAGAGACTGCCCGAGGGCCTTGGAGGACAAGCCCTGATGGAAAGTAGATTTACCTGTGGAGCCAGAATATGGGGCTGGGGGACAGTGGCCGTGCCCTGTGGCCTGTGGGAAGAGGTGACAGGATGGGTTGGTCAGAGTAAGATACACCTAGGCTTTTGCCGTTTAAGCTGCAGCCCCAGCAGAGAGGCAATGCCAAAGGTCCAGAGCTGGTCACGGGTGGTATTGGACCCTGCCCCAAGAATGTTTCCTCCAGGGCTGGGGCCTTGCTGGAAAAGTAGTAGGGAGCTGTGGAGCAAGTGTGAGCAAGATGTGCACTCAGCCGCTCAGCTCACTCTAGGCAGTCACTCTGGACTAGCATAGTCAAGTTCTCCAGAGCTGGAAACTGAGGCCAGGGGGCTGGGAGATGGGGCTGCCAGGGCAGTGGGGGCGTGGAGTGGGCAAGGCTTTGGGACAAAGGTCAGGGGTGTGTGTGGAGGTGAGCCCCCAGGCACAAGGGTATGTGGATGGCTCTTCCTGCAGGGGAGGCCTATGAAACCCAGGGCCATCCCCATTTGGGCTCCCAGAGTCAGGAGGCTCTGAGCCTTTTGTAGGGGATTAAGACCTGACACCCAGAGTCACAGTAGACATTGTAATCCTCTTTGTCACATCTGGCCCCTACAGGCCCCATCCTCGGGACTCACAACATGTGCTCTAGCCCACCCACTTCTCTCCAGGGCTGCCATGATGTGGTCCTCAGCTTTTGTCCCTGGAAGGCACCCAGCTTCTCGCTGGAGTCCTCATCCTCCATCCAACTTCTAAAGGTCTTTGCTTTCCAGGACAGACACGGGGATCTCAAGCACCATCCACAGCACCCTGTTGCTCTTTCAATAAAACTGAATCCTTAATGCAGCCTGTGTGGACAGCTCTGTGAGCAGCACCCCAGTCTGTGATCCCCTTATCCTCGTTCTCCTCTTTCTCAGGACAGAGGTCATCATGTGCCTGTCTGCCTTCTGTTCTAGTTCTTGAGAAATATAATCCAGTCAGGCCTTGAGTTCCTGGTCTTCCCTCTTATGTCCTGTCATGACAGGTGTATGCCACCAATCCCAAGAGTGATAAGGTGCTGGGGATGGAACCCAGGGCCTCCTCATGCTAGGCAAGCACTCTCCCAGCTGGGCTACATCCCCTCTTTCTTTGAAATTACTCTTTGGATTTCTTCATTGTTTCCTGTTTATTCTCTCTCCCATCTGAGACCAAGGACCACAGACCCCTCCCCCAGGTCACCCCTAGGTGTCCCAGAGGCAGGCAAACTGAAGATGTTCAGTAAATGTTTATCGAGTGAATGAATGAGTGGGTGTGGGTTTGTGCTCCAGCCAGCACGGGTGGGGGGTACCAGAAGTGGAGTGTCTGGGTGTGCCTTGCGAAGAGGGATGGACTGGGGACACGCTGGGCTCCTGTGCCCCGGTTTCCTTGGCTTTCTTGTCCCGGGTATGGGGCCTTGGCTTCAAATCCCAGCAAGGCAGGGATAGAATGTCCTATGGTCAGAATGAGCCCCACTGGCTGCCTAGGACCTGCGGGAGAAGGACGTACTCCTTTGGTAACTAAGTGTGTGCGGCTTATCGCCTTTGGAAACGGCTTTTGTGGCGGCGCACGCGGGGCCTGTGTTGCCGCCGCGCCAGGTTACAGATGGGAAGGAAGGGGCAGCGCCCGCGGGGCAGGCTGATACCCAGGGACAGCGCGGCCAACTCCCGACCCCGCCGCCCAGGCCCTAGCGACGCCCCGCCCTCACTGCACAGGGCCCTAGCAACGGCCAGGTAACCCCGCCCATTCTGCTCAGAACCCTAGCAACGCCCTGCCCATGCTGCTGAGGTCCATAGCAACGTCCCACCCTCATCCTAGAGCCCCTCTCCCTGTGGCTACAGCCCTAGCAACAGCCTGCCTGTTGCTGAGGCCCATGGCAACGCCCCGCCCTCGCTGTGCAGAGTCCTAGCAACGGCCAGGTAACCACGCCCCCTCCGCTCAGACTCCTAGCAAAGTCCTGCCTGTGATGCTGGGGTCCATAGCAACGTCCACGTTCGCTCCGGAGCCCTAGCAACGCCCGGCGCCGTCCGTCAAGGCCCTCGCGACGCCGGGCGCCAGGCGGGTTCTAACCGCGCTCTCTCTCAGCGCTTCCGGCAGAGCCATAGTCACGAAGGCTCCCTAGCGGCAGGCCCTGGCAACGCCCCGCCCCGCCGCCCTCCTCCATAGCGACGCCACGCCCCTTGCTCCGCCCCTCGGCTGGGCGGGGCTCCCGCCGAGCTTCCTCCTTGCCGCCCGGCGCGCTCGGGTAGCCCGCGGCCGCCGGGCCGCTCCACGGGGCTCAGGCTGAATCCGGGCGGTCCGGCCGGGGCCCCGGCGCGCGGGGGGAGGCAGCATGTCGGACCCCAGCTACTGGACGGCAGTGGCGGCTCCCGGACACCGCAGCCGCTTGGCCAAGGGTGCGCTGCTACAGCGTTCCAAAAGGTAGGGGCGGCTTGGAATGCGGGGTCGAGCTGGGGACCCCCGGGATTCGAACCTGGGACTCGGGCTGCGCAAAGCGAGGAATGTGGGAAGAATGAAGCGGTCTGTGCTGGGCGCTCAGCGGAAACGTTGGCGCAGAAGCAAATACTCATGGCCCAGGCTGACGAGTGGGTGGTAGGTCTGCAGCCAAGGCGTGCCTGGCTTCTCCTCGGCCCAGGCCCTTCTCTGCAAGGTGCAAGGCCGAGTGAGAGCTGGTGCCTCCACTAGACCCAGGTTCAAGTTACAGTGTAGTACTACCGTGCTGTGTGACCCCAGGGAGTTCCCCAACCTCTCTGTGCTTGGGTTTCTCGGGGTTTAGGTTTGTCTAGATAGGCACAGTGTGAGTTGCAAGGACCATGAGTGCTGAATCCAAAGCTTCGTTTGTGCCCAAGGTACTATGGTGCCCTGCATGGCTTACAGGCCCATTAGAGCTTGCATACAAGGAGCTGTGTAAGCAGTCGGCGTTTACTGTGTGCTCAGGTGGGATGGTTCCAGGTTCTCCGAGGTGTCCAATATGGTTGTTTTCAAGGCCTGGCCTGTGAGCATGAGGGAGAGGAACCAGCCAATCTCATTGGCCACCGTTGCAGGACGTGGGGGCAGCCGGGGGCAGGGAGAGGGTGTGGCTGCCTGTGTGTGTGTGTCGTGTGCAGAGGGGGGGGCGCAGGAAGTCCTGCAGGGACCTTTGGGTTCCGCTTCTGCACCCACACCTCAGCCTAGGGGGCAATTCCTCCACTCTCGATCTCCGCAGCCCCGACTTCCCTGTGTGGGGAGCAGGCAGAGTCCCCGAACCCGGGGCTGGTTACTACTGCGTTCCACACCTGTGGCTCAGCGGCTCTGGGGCGTGGCCTCCCGCAGCCAGGCTCTGAGCCTGCGTCCCCCAAGTCCATTTCCGCAGGGTGTGCTGGTTTCGTGGACCTTCTGGGTGTCCGGATGGGGCGGCAGAGGCTCCGCTTCAGCCCCCGAGCTGAGCCTGGCTCCCGGCCGCTCTCCTGCCTGTGCCCTTTGCGGCTGTGATGCCTCCCTTTTTGGCCTGCAAGCTGTGCCCCTCATCACCCAAAGCCTCCCTGCCTCCTCCAGGCCCTGCCTGTCGCTCCCTCCCTGACACTTCTGCAGAGCTGCGTTGGCGGGGGCTGTGTGGGCCGCTCTCCTTGTCTGTCAGAGCCACTGTTGCTGGGTGACTGGAGGGGCCGGGAGGGGGGCAGGAACCTAATGGCTTCAGCTCTGCCAAGGGGGAGGCGAGACTCGGCCCAGTGGGCAGAAGGGGCCAGAGGCCTGGGCAGGGGCTCAGGGCAAGTGGCCAAAAGGGACATGGGATCAGGGGAGGGAAGGGCGGGAAGTTAGAACATGGACAGTCCTACCTCAGAGTCACCATGCTGACTTTGGGTATTTTCGTTGGGTCAGACTAGCTTTTTGTTGTCTGTATGTAGCCCAGGCTGGCCTCCAACGCACAGAGGATTTGTTATTAAAGGAGTGTGCCACCACACCAGGAAGTAGTTAGCTCTTTGGGATCTTGGGAAGGTGGGGGCAGCAGCTTCAGGGACAGGAGTACCTGCTTCCCACAGCCATGGGCTCAGGGCCATCACCTGTCTCCCCCGCTGACTTCAGTGTGCCTGGCAGGGGTCATGGTGTAAGGTGAAGGGCCAGGGGCTGGGAAGGAGGAAGGCTGGAAAGTCTGTCAGTGTGTCCTGGTCATGTGCCAGTGTCCCCATGAGGCTGGACGGGCTTCCTCCAACTGTGTTCTCAGTGGATCGAGGCTGGGAAGGGAAGATTGAAACAGGCCATCTCAGGAGAGCAGGCATTGAGAGCGCCCTCCAGAATCCCAAGGCCAGCCTGTGCTATATGAGACTCTGGCTCAAAAATAAGAAGAGCTGTTTGAGCTGGGCGGTGGTGGCGCACGCCTTTAATCTCTGCACTTGGGAGGCAGAGGCAGGAGGATCTCTGTGAGTTCAAGGCCAACCTGGTCTAGAGAGCGAGATCCAGGACAGCCAAGACTACACAGAGAAACTCCGTTTTGAAAAACAAAAAACCAGCCAGGTGGTGGTGGCACACACCTTTAATCCCAGCACTAGGGAGACAGAGACAGGTGGATCTCTGTGAGTTCGAGGCCAGCCTGGGCTACAGAGTGAGATCCAGGACAGACTCCAAAACTACACAGAGAAACCCTGTCTCGAAAAAAAAGAAAAAGAAAAAGAAAAACCAAAAGAGATGTTTGGTAACCCCAGTGGGTCTCAGAACCTCCTGCTAAACCGAAGGAGGTAGTGGTTGGTCTAAGGCGGCCTGCAGCCAGCCTGAGTGCACTCCATGCTGGGCGCATGGTCCCCTGGTCCCTCAAGCTCGCCATCTAACCCTGTCCTTCCCTCACAGCTGCCGCAGCGGTAACCGAAAGAGCTTGGTTGTGGGGACGCCCTCGCCCACCATCTCCAGGCCGCTGTCACCACTCTCTGTCCCAACCGGTGAGTGGGGAGATCCAGGCGGGTGGCTGGGTCCGAGCTCCACCCTGACTCACCCCCGTCCTCAGCAGGTAACAGCCCCTTGGACAGTCCTCGGAACTTCTCTGCTGCAGCGGCCCTCAACTTCCCCTTTGCCCGGAGGTGGGTGTCCTGCCTCGATACAGGGCTAGCGCCCCTCACAGGGCCAGAGCTGGCCCTCACTGATTTTCCCTCCCTTGTCCCCTTCCTGCCTGGCTCTGGTGGTCCCTGGTAAACGCGTCACCCTGCACAGCCACCTCTCCCATGGTGACAGGTAATTCGGAGTCCCGTGAAGGAAGCGGGGGCTGCGGCTGCACTCAGAATCACTCACCCACTAACCAAGACCTGACATGGTGTGCCCAGGGCCTTCAGTGCCCTTGGGTTGTCGGGGGCTGTGACCCCCCGAAACAGCTGACAGGTCAAAGCCTGTGTGGCACGCGCACCGGGCCGGCTGCCTGCGGGTCCCTGATCATCTGCCCCTCCCCAGGGCTGACGGCAGAAGATGGTCGCTTGCGTCTCTCCCGTCCTCCGGCTATGGGACCAACACTCCCAGCTCCACCGTGTCGGTACTGACGGCTGCCCGGGGCGGGTGGATGGGGCTCCGGGAGGCCCTCGGCGGCCTGGGCGGGGAGCGATGCCGGGGTGCGCAGTCCGCGGTGACCCCGGCCTTCTCCCTGACCAGTCAAGCTCCTCTTCCCGGGAACGTCTACACCAGCTTCCCTTCCAGCCCACTGCGGACGAGCTGCGCTTCCTGTCCAAGCACTTCCGCAGCTCCGAGAGCGTGGTGGACGAGGACGGCGGCCGCTCCCCGCGGCTGCGGCCCCGCTCGCGCAGCCTCAGGTAGGCCTGGGCGGGACCTCCGCACCCTGTCGGCCTTCGGCGCCCCTCACCCACCTGTCGCGTTTCAGCCCTGGACGCACGTCGGGGACCTTCGACAACGAGATTGTGATGATGAACCACGTGTACCGGGAGCGCTTCCCCAAGGTGTGCGGCACGCCAGCCACTCTCGGCCAGCCTGGGCCGGGCCGGGCCCGCCCCGTCAGTCACCAGAGCCCCGCCCCCGTCAGTCACCAGAGCCCCGCCCCCGGCCGGGCCCGCCCCGTCAGTCACCAGAGCCCCGCCCCCGGCCAGGCCCGCCCCTGTCAGTCACCAGAGCCCCGCCCCCGGCCAGGCCCGCCCCCGGCCAGGCCCACCCCTGTCAGTCACCAGAGCCCCGCCCCCGTCAGTCACCAGAGTCCCGCCCTGAGACAGGCCCGCCCCCGTCAGTCACCAGAACCCCGCCCTCTGTCAGTCACCAGAGCCCCGCCCCCGGCCAGGCCCGCCCCTGTCAGTCACCAGAGCCCCGCCCCCGGCCAGGCCCGCCCCTGTCAGTCACCAGAGCCCCGCCCCCAGGCAGGCCCGCCCCCGTCAGTCACCAGAACCCCGCCCTCTGTCAGTCACCAGAGCCCCGCCCTGAGGCAGGCCCGCCCCTGTCAGTCACCAGAGCCCCGCCCCCAGGCAGGCCCGCCCCCGTCAGTCACCAGAGCCCCGCCCTCTGGTGAGGCAAGGCCTCTTCTCCTGTGGGTCCCCCAACCCGGGCCCCGCCAGCCCCGCATGGGCACACTTTTTACCCGTGTCACCGGTGCCTGGCCCGCCCCCGTGCGGCCCGCTCCTCCGGTCCTTCCCCTCGGCCCGCCCCTGCCGCTCACCCCCGCCCTCCCACAGGCCACTGCGCAGATGGAGGGCCGGCTGCAGGACTTCCTGGCAGCATTCGCCCCCGGCGACCGCCTGGCCCTGGCTGACGGAGTCCTGGGCTTCATCCACCACCAGATTGTGGAGCTGGCACGGGACTGCCTAGCCAAGTCGGGCGAGGCCCTGGTCACCTCCCGCTATTTCCTGGAGATGCAGGACAAGCTGGAGCGGCTGCTGCAGGATGTGCGTGGGGGCGGGGCCGGCGGGTGGCCACGCCCACGGGTGGGTGTGTTTGGGTAACGCCTTCTTGGGCGGAGTTGCAGGGCCCCAGAGGCTCCCCATGGGTGTGGGCGGGGCTCCGTCCGCTTGTGGGCGGGGCCTCGTCTGTGGGCGGGGCTCACCGGTGCCCCGCCCCCGCCCGCCCGCAGGCTCACGAGCGGTCCGACAGCGCCGAGGTGGGCTTCATCGTGCAGCTGGTCCGCAAGCTGCTCATCATCATCTCGAGGCCCGCGCGGCTGCTCGAGTGCCTGGTGAGCCGCCCCCGGGGGTCCTGGGGCTCGGGCGCCCGGCGAGGTCGGGGGCTCACGGCCTCTCCTGCGCAGGAGTTCGACCCTGAGGAGTTCTACCACCTGCTGGAGGCTGCGGAGGGCCAGGCCCGCGAGGACCAGGGCGTGAAGACTGATCTGCCGCGCTACATCATCCGCCAGCTGGGCCTGGCCAAGGACCCGCTGGAAGGTGAGCGGCGGCGCCCAGAGCACAGGATCTGGATTCGAACCCACGGCTCCCTGTGCCTCCGGGTCTCGCTCAGCCTCATTCTGCTTCCCCGCCACCATGGGGTAGCGCTCACTGAGACTCACTAGAGCTGCTGTCCGTCAGTCCCTGGCGCAGGGAAGTACTGGGGTCTACTCTAGTTGGGGACATCTGGAGCACTAAGGTCCCAAGTCGTGGCTTTTCTAGAAGACTCTAGTTCTTGCTATTGGACTGTACAGTGAAATCCCATTTAAAATGAAAAAAGAAATATAACCTCGTTTGACAGAGATCCAGCCTCTGAATGACCTAGATGAAGACCAGTCCCCAGCTCCTGGACACCCTGAGGTGAGTTAAAAGCTGAGGCAGGGATGTTTTGTCCTTTCCTGAGTGGCTGGAAGAGGGGGTAAGTACTGAAGTAGATGCTTAAACAGGTGTGATTTTTGGGGGTGTAGCTGCAGTGTGACTGCCCCTTCATAGAGGTCTCCCACGCATGGGCTCAGCTGGAAAGGGCACTGAAATGTGGGTCTTGAAGGATGTATAGGAGTTTACCAGGAAGCAGGCTTTGTTAAAAACAACAACAACCACCAAAAAAAACCCAAAACCCCTAAGAAACTTGCATACTGGTTGACAAGCTTGGACAGAGAGGAAGTAGCCTGGCCAGTGAGATGGCAGCTTGACTTGGGAAAGCCTTGCAGTGGGGGACCCTGAGCCCCCCTCTTATGTGTAGAGCCAAGGCCTGGGCGGTCCGTCCCGGAGGAAGCCGTGTGAGAGCGACTTTGAGACCATCAAGCTTATCAGCAATGGAGCCTATGGGTGAGTCCCGGTCCCGCTGGGGCGGCCTGGGCGCGGTACCGGGGCCGGTCCCGTCAGCTCTCCATTCCTGTGCCCAGGGCCGTCTACCTGGTGCGCCACCGGGAAACGCGGCAGCGCTTCGCCATCAAGAAGATCAACAAACAAAATCTGATCCTGCGCAACCAGATCCAGCAGGTGTTCGTGGAGCGCGACATCCTCACCTTCGCCGAGAACCCCTTCGTGGTCGGCATGTTCTGCTCCTTCGAGACCCGCCGCCACCTCTGCATGGTCATGGAGTATGTGGAAGGTGCGGCCCCAGGCTGCCATGCCCCCCACATTCCCACCCGGGCACAGCTGGAGGTTCAGAGTAAGGAGTGTGGTCCCTGGAGAGCTCAGGATGGTGGCCAGGCCGGGAGGGGCGCCTCAGCGGGTAAGAAGGCCGCTGGGCCAGGGGGAGAGCCCGCAAGCAGTAGGCGCCCCCTGTGTGCAGAGGGCCATGTTAGAGCTCAGCCTCGCTGGGCGGAGCCCAAGCCTGACCCGTCCCCGTGCAGGAGGCGACTGTGCGACACTACTGAAGAACATGGGCCCGCTGCCTGTGGACATGGCGCGCATGTACTTCGCAGAGACGGTGCTGGCGCTGGAATATCTGCACAACTACGGTATCGTGCACCGCGACCTCAAGCCTGACAAGTGAGCGGCCAGAGCCGGGCTGGGGGCTGCTGGGGCGGGGCTCTGAGCAGCCTGGGGGGCGGGGCTGGGTGCTGCTGGGGCGGGGCTCTGAGCAGCCTGGGGCGGGGTGGAGCTCTGAGCTGAGTTGGGGCGGGGGAGGGTCTGGGGGGCCTCAAGGGCTGCCTGAATATCCCAGTTTAACTGCTTTAGCATCACAGAGACCCTGCAGACAAAAAGGCAGGGCAGATGCACACATTGAGCACCTACTCTGCAGGGGTAAGGGTCGCTCATTTGTTTAGTGCCATCTGTATGTGAAGCAGGAATTGCTGGTGTCTCAGCTATTTGCTACATGGAGATGTGGGCAGAAGCGTTCAGAACCTTGTGCTATTTGCACTCGGCTCAGCTGATATGTTTGGCACCTGCTGTTTATCTCAGCTGAAACAATGCACATACACAGTAGTCACAAATCCATGCTTTTTCACATAGCCCAGACATACAGGAGGAGCCACATGAATGAAAAGCTATGCATACAGAAAGTGAGCTTCGGGGGGTTTATTTTTAAGCAATAGATGTATTTACAAGGTGCATAGAAATATAAGGTCATAGCAGGACATGGTGGCACACATCTGTTATCCTTGTACCCAGAAGACTGAGGCAGGGGTTCAGGAGTTTAAGGCTAGCCTGAACTACTTATAGTGAGTTTGAGGCCACCCTGGGCCACATGGGAGAAAAAAAGATTTTTTTAAAAAAGGACATGCATGCCGACATGGGCTACCTACCTAGTGAGAACTGGTCTCAAAACAAAACAAGAGCAATACGTCCAGTGGGGGCTTCAGTCTTGGCCACCATGCAGGGCTGCGGCCTCCCCTCCAGCCTGAGTGTCCTGGCCTTGCCCACAGCCTGCTCATCACCTCCCTTGGCCACATCAAGCTGACGGACTTCGGCCTGTCCAAGATCGGCCTCATGAGCATGGCCACCAACCTGTACGAGGGTCACATCGAGAAGGATGCCCGAGAGTTTGTGGACAAGCAGGTGCGATCCAACCCAGGGGCAAGACTGAAAAGCCTACCTCGCCAGTTTCCCCCAGGCCGACCTCATTTCCCTGTTCCGTACAGGTGTGTGGGACGCCCGAGTACATTGCTCCCGAGGTGATCTTCCGCCAGGGCTATGGGAAGCCGGTGGACTGGTGGGCCATGGGTGTCATCCTGTATGAATTCCTGGTGGGCTGTGTGCCGTTTTTCGGGGACACGCCTGAGGAACTGTTCGGACAGGTGGTCAGTGGTACGTCTTACGCAAAGGCTGTGACACTTCTAGGCGGGCTGGCCACAGCGCTAAAGCACTTGGAGGGACTTGTTGGAAGGTGCTAGAAAGGGCATCCTGTTCCTCTTCCCACACTTCTCAGATGAGATCATGTGGCCAGAGGGAGACGAGGCACTTCCCGCTGATGCCCAGGATCTCATCACTAGGCTTCTGCGCCAGAGCCCAATGGACAGGCTGGGAACTGGTAAGTCAGTGGGGTGGCTTCACTCATGGCCCTGTTAACCAGGCTGTGTGGAGGAGGGAGCTTGGAGTAGGGTTTTGAAGAGTAGGTAGGAGTTAACTAGAAACTGTCTAAGACTTTGAAGACAGTAGCTGGGTCTGGTGCTCACTGCTTTCTTGACCACATTCCTGGGTCTGTTCTGGCCCCATCCGGTGGAGAGGGAGGCAGCCAGTGGGGGTCACACAGGGCTCAGCCTGCATGTCTACAGGGGGCACCCACGAGGTGAAGCAGCACCCCTTCTTCTTGGCCCTGGACTGGGCGGGGCTTCTCAGACACAAGGCGGAGTTTGTCCCACAACTCGAAGCTGAAGATGACACCAGCTACTTTGACAGTAAGTGGGTCCCTCGGGATGCAGACCGGCCTCACCCCCACCCCAGTGGGGCCCTCGGGATGCAGACCGGCCCCTCACCCCCCCCCCCAGTGGGGCCCTCGGGATGCAGACCGGCCTCACCCCCACCCCAGTGGGGCCCTCGGGATGCAGACCGGCCCCTCACACCCCCCCAGTGGGGCCCTCGGGATGCAGACCGGCCCCTCACACCCCCCCAGTGGGGCCCTCGGGATGCAGACCGGCCCCTCACCCCCCCACCCCAGGACTCACTGCCTGTCAGGGCCCTCCCTGTTTCTCTTGTGTAAAACGGGAATGTAGCTCAGCGTTGAGACACCTCATTTTAGATGCACGAAGCCCTCCCTAGCTGTGGCCACACAGCTTTTGGGGACACAGTGGGATCTGCTCCTGTCCCTGCGTCACGGCACAGGCCTGGGCCCCTCAGGGTGTCCCCAGCTGCTCCAGCTGCTCCCTCACCCCCGCAGCTCGCTCTGAACGTTACCGCCACTTGGGCTCTGAGGACGACGACGAGACCAATGACGAGGAATCTTCTACAGAGATTCCCCAGTTTTCCTCCTGTTCCCACCGCTTCAGCAAGGTGGGCTGGCCAGCAGCCTGCGCTCCTGAGTCCGTTGACCCGTGTGTTTGGTTTGTTTCTGAGACAGGGTCTTGTTCCGCTGTCCACCCTCCCGCTGCAGCCTCCCTGGTGCCGGGATGACAGGCGTGTGTCACAGTCCTCTTACTGACACTAAAAACACCTCACAGGTTTACAGCAGTTCCGAGTTCCTGGCCGTTCAGCCCACCCCCACCTTTGCGGAAAGGAGCTTCAGTGAGGACCGAGAGGAAGGGTGGGAGCGGAGCATGGCAGGGGACCGTGGCCGCCGGCTGAGCGCCGACCTCCGGTAGGTGGGCCGAGGAGTTAGGGAGAGTCAGATTACACAATCTGATGTTGAAGGAGCTTCCCATTGGCCGAGTAGAAAAGAGTGAAATGTAAGTGGTCTCTGGCACAGTGGCTCCCACGGCCCCTTCTGTCCAGAATGGACTTGGCCAGCCAAGTCCGTTGGTCCTTCAAGTTCCAGACTCAAGAGAAACAATGTCTCTGGAGAGTGGGAATTGGAAACTGGGATTTTCGGGTTAAATAGTTCTCCGAATGTGGCTGAGTGGCATGGCTCCTCCCTCCCACAGGCTGCGGTCCTGGACAGGTGCAGCCTCCTGCCAACCCTCCTCCTCTCTGCCTGACCGGGGCCCCAGCCCGTCTCTCCTAAGCACCATCAGCTTGGACACGATGCCCAAATTTGCCTTCTCTTCTGAAGATGAGGGAGCAGGTTCAGGGCCAGCTGACCCCAAGAAGCCCGTCTTCATCCTGGGGGAACCTGACCCTGCGCCCCCAACCACCCCAGTGACACCCAAGCCTTGCATCCTCTCTGGTAGGTGGGCCTAAGGGAAAGTTCTCCAGAGTTGGCCGTCCGAGATAGGTTTTGAAACAGGAATGGAGGTTTCTCCAGAATCAGACTTTTATAGTAAGATGGTCCTGCACCCCAGAACCCGCAGCCCAACTTCATACAGTTGGGGGTGAGGTGGAGAGGTGCCAAGCTCGCCCATTTGTCCCTCAGCTGACACAGCTGTCCTCAGCCACGCTCGCCTTCGAAGTAACAGTACGGGCGCCCGGCACTCGACTCCTCGGCCCCTGGATGCTGGCAGAGGTCGCCGCCTGGGAGGCCCAAGAGACCCTGGGCCTGAGAAGCCCCGGGCCTGCCCTGGCGGCGGGGGCGGGGGCCGAGTGCCCAAGTCGGCCTCGGTATCCGCCCTGTCCCTCATCATCACGGCAGGTAACAGTCTGTCCCACGCTGTTCCAGCTGGCTTTGCCGCCGGGGTGGGGCGGGGAGATGGATCGGGAACTGGCCTAGTGCACTGAGTGGGGCCCCGCGGCCACCGTGGGAGAAGGAGAGAGACCCACGCGCAATGTCCCTGCTGTCCTCCCCCCACAGACGATGGCAGCGGGGGTCCCCTCATGAGTCCCCTGTCGCCACGCTCGCTGTCCTCCAACCCCTCCTCCCGAGACTCCTCCCCCAGCCGGGACCCATCTCCTGTGTGTGGCAGCCTGCGGCCCCCCATCGTTATCCACAGCTCAGGCAAGAAGTATGGCTTCAGCCTGCGCGCCATCCGAGTCTACATGGGCGACAGCGACGTGTACACGGTGCACCATGTGGTCTGGGTGAGTCCGCCCGCTGGCTTGATCCTTGACAAACCCCTCCAGGACCCCACGGTTGGTCCGGGCGTGGGACCCCGCCCTGCTCCACAGCGAGGGGAAACTGAGGCTTAGCAGCACTAGGCTCGGCCTCTGACCAGCAGGACTGTGCCCGCAGAGCGTGGAGGAGGGGAGCCCTGCGCAGGAGGCGGGACTGCGCGCCGGGGACCTCATCACGCACATCAACGGGGAGTCGGTCCTGGGCCTGGTGCACATGGATGTGGTGGAGCTGCTGCTGAAGGTGCGACCCGGGGACCCGGCCGCAGCGTGCCCGCACTGTGCACCCGGGTCTCAGGGCGGCTCTCGGTGACTGGTGTCCCTCCCGCAGAGCGGTAACAAGATCTCCTTGCGCACCACGGCTCTGGAGAACACCTCTATCAAGGTGGGGCCCGCGCGGAAGAACGTGGCCAAGGGCCGCATGGCCCGCAGAAGCAAGCGCAGCCGCCGGCGGGAGACCCAGGATCGGTGAGCAGGGCGGGCAGCGAGGCCCCGGCGGGCAGTGGGGCCCCCGCCGGCTCAGCCCCCCTCACGGTCTCCACGCATGTCCCCAGGCGGAAGTCTCTGTTCAAGAGGATCTCCAAGCCGTCTTCTGTGCTCCACACCAGCCGGAGCTTCTCCTCAGGCCTCCACCACTCCCTGTCCTCCAGCGAGAGCCTCCCTGGATCACCCACTCACAGCCTATCCCCCAGCCCCACCACGCCCTGCCGCAGCCCTGCGCCCGACGCCCCCACAGGTGGGTGCGCTCACAGCCAGGGTGGCGGTTCACACAGCAGACTGGTAACCGTGGCCTGGTAGCTGGTGCCCTTCATCCCAGCACTTAGGGGGACAGGCAGACAAATGAAGAGTTCCAGGTCTACATGGCAGATCTCAGCCTAGCCTCGGCTTCCTGAGCCTGCATGGGAATATGAACATGTGTGGTGTATGTGACAGGAGTCAGTAGGGAGCCCGGGTGTGTGCTTGAGCTGAGGGGATGGCATACTGGCCTCATGTTGACTGTCCACACTGTTTAAGGGTCAGACACAGCTTTGAGGAAGGGACAGGGTCAGGGTTAAGAGGAGGCAGGGAAGGCTTCTGGGAGGAGGGGGTAAATGACATCTGGTTCTGATGGATGAGTAGGAGTTCACTAGATCTAGGCCAAGGGCACTTCCCTGTGGGGATGAAGGGTAGGTGGTAACAGTGGAGGGCATGGGCTGTTGCCAGTCCAGGCCCCACCACCAGGAGGGACACTAACCAGTCCCTGTTGTCCGCAGACTCCGCGTCCCCACCCAGCGTCTCCCCAAGCTCCAGCAGCCCTGCCTCCCCTGCCACGGGCCACACCCGTCCCAGCTCACTGCACGGCCTGGCGGCCAAGCTTGGGCCACCTCGTCACAAGAGCGGCCGCCGCAAGTCCACCAGCAGTATCCCACCATCCCCGCTGGCCTGCCCCCCAGTGCCCACGCCCCCGCCACGCTCGCCATCGCCCCTGCCGGGGCACATCCCCATACCCGCGCGGTCCCCTAGGCTACGCCGGGGCCAGTCGGCCGACAAGCTGGGCCTGGGCACCAGTGAGCGGCTGGATGGGGATGGAGGCCGGCGTGGCCGGGGAGCGGAGGCCGAGCTGGTTGTCATGAGGAGGCTGCACCTCTCTGAGCGCCGGGACTCCTTCAAAAAGCAGGAGGCGGTGCAGGAGGTGAGCTTTGATGAGGAGCCTGGACCGCCTCGGGCAGTGCCCAAGATCGCTGTGCAGGGTGCAGAGGGCCCTCCTGGAACCCCGGGGCCAGCCGCGAAGGACTGACTGCCATCCCTGGCCCCAGTTCCTCACGGAGCTGTCATTTCCACAAGGTCACATCTGGATGGGGTTCGGCCATCAGCCTGGGACACACGCCTAGAGGGTGCTCCCCCACCCAGGAAGCACTGGGATGGGGGTGCCTGTGACTTGTAAATAGCAAGGCCTCACGACTAATTTATTACTTTTTATAAGCAATAGCCAGGCTGGCCGCCCTGGTGGAGGAGGCTGTCTGTCTGTCTGTCTTGGCCCTCAGACCCTGTTCTCTGGGCAACTTGTGTTTTCTAGTTTGTTCCGTCCTTTCCACGTATGTGTGTGGACTGTGTGTGTCCCCTTCCCACTTCCAACCCAAGACACACCAGGGCACACAATTCTGTTTGGACAGAGTTTGGGAGCTGGGTGTGTTGGCGCATGCTTGTGATCCCAGAACCAGAGAGGCTGGGAGAGGGGGCAACCAGTTCAATGGTGGGCGCACCCTGTGTCAACAGCCTTCCTCAGGCTGGTCCTACATTCGGCCTCTGGTCCTGCGTGCTTCGCCTTAGAGAAGTGTGGGAGCCAGGGGCTGGGTGAACAGGAGTTCTCCAGACTGGGGTGGAACAGCCCATGACCCAGTACAGGAAGTAGCCGACAACCCTGAGGGCACCATTACAGGGAGAGAAGTGTCCCCTGCAGGGCTGGCACTGACAGCCCACACCCCAAAACCACGTCCATGTGGGCAGAGTCCCACCACGGCCAGCCAGGACCATGCGATCTCCTTGACTTCGGCTTTGCTGTGTGGTTCTGGGGGAATGTCTTGCCTATTCTGTGCCTGGGCTGCTGTGTTTACAAGACTAACCCCAGTGACTTGAGCACTCCCGGATCCCCCCGCTTTGTGTGATCCAAGCAAATGAGCTCCAGAGGCCGGTCCCACCACGGCCCAGTGAGAGTCCAGGGTCAAGACAGGTCATGAGGGAGCCCAGGCTATCCCCCATGATGCCGTGTGATCCAGCGTTCACCTAGCAGGGTTGCCAGTGATGCAGCACTGCCCACCCCGTCGGGTGAGGGGATTCCAGGCTGGAACCCGCTCTGCACCCTCCGACTCCAGCCAGCACTGCCTGCTGGAGGGACACCAAGGCTGTGCATGACTAGCCCTCCGCCCATCCTGGAGCTGGCACTGAATAAAAGCCCATGCTGACATCCAATCCTGGTGTGTACATTTGTGAGTGGCTGGGGAGCTGGCAGGGGATAGGGGACAACTGTGGGCTCAGTGTCTGAGGTGGGTTTTGCAGGCTGTAAAGGAGCTTGCTTAAGCACTTCAATCAGGCTGCATTCCAGCTACCTAAAAGGCTGGGTTCCATACTAGGCAGAGCAATGGGGCAAAAATCACATCTCTAAAATAAAACTGAACAAAATAAAGTGTTTCCAGGCATGACTGCATACACCCGTAATCCTAACCCTGGGTGGCTGAAGCAGGAGAGTCATGAGCTCATGCAGCCTGGGCTCATAAGAAGACTGTCTCAAAAGCTGCTTTTCCAGAGGACCTGGTTGATTCCCATCACCCACATGGCAGCTCCAGTTCCTGACTTCCCCGGGCACCAGGTACTCACATGGTGCAGACAGACATGCAAGCAAGACACCCAGGCACAAAATCAAACTAGAAACCAAAACAAAAAAACAAAGTCAGGCGGCGGTGGGCGGTGGCACACACCTTTAACTCGGGAGGCAGAGGCAGGTGGATGTCTGTGAGTTTGAGGCCAGCCTGGGCTACAGATCAAGTTGGTCTACAGGACAGCCAGGGCTACAACAGAGAAACTCTGTCTCGAAAAACAAAACATAAATAAAAAAAAAAACCCTACAAAGCTGAGTGTGGTAGCACTTGCCTCTAACTCCAGCATAGTCTACACAGTGAGAGACTGTCTCAAAAAAAAGTCATTTAGCTCTTCAATTAACAAGTCAGTTCATCTTCCTGTATTTTCTCTTCAAGAACACTTAATGTGTATGTGCACCACCTGAGTGCAAGTCCCGGGCCCAGAGACACCAGAGGAGCGCGTTGGGTGGGGAGCTGAGCCCGGTCCTCTGCCTCGGCTGCAACCGCTCCGTCTCCGTTTTCCACCCAGGTCTGTGCGCTGAGCTAGAAAACAATAACGACCTCCGAAATGAGCCGAACAAGCTCGGCTATTTCCGGTGGCCCCCACACCCACTGCCAGCGCCTGTCGCTATTTCCGGAAACAATCGTGCTTCCGGGCTTCGGTTCACCTCGTTCTCGAACGCGATGGGCCGGAGACGCTTCGGCTGTTTCCGGACGCCGAGGGTTGCCATGGGAGCGCCTTCGCCTCTTGCGGCCGCCTAACCGGACGTGCTTCGGCAAGTTCCGGAAGCTGTCGGCGGCCGCCGAGTGTCAACTCCAAGACCTGTATTGGAGACCGTTCGGTTCTTCCCAGACACGCTCCTCGGTGCCGCGGGTTCACACCTTCGTAAAAACAAACCCGCGGTGCCGTTCGGCTCTTCGGGATGGGAGGCCAGCGGGGTCCGGCCCTCCAGCTTCGGCGCGGGCGCTCGCTCTCCGAGTCCAGTTCGACTGTTTCCGTATCCTCTCGACCCTCCCCGCCGGCCCAGCAGCCCCTCCAGCGCTCTCCCGACTCGGTTGCTCTCGGCTGTTTCCGGCCACCCTCGGCTGTCTCGTGGCAAACGGCGGCCGACCATTCCCGCGGGAGTACGTTCGGCTGTTTCCGGACGCAAACCCGCGCGCTTCGGTCTCCGAGCTCCAGCTCGGTGTGGGGCGGGGGAAGGACCGCCCTCCCGGCCCGAATGCGTTCGGCTATTTCCGCCCGGGGGCGGGCCCGGCGGCTCGGAACCGCGGCGACGGCGGCTGACGCAGGGATCCCGCGGCAGCGGCGGCGGCGGCGGCGGCGGTGGCGACGGCGCCCGCGACTGGGTGAGTCGATGGCGGCGGCGGGGACATGAGGAGCGTGGGGGGCGCGCGGAACCCGTCTCCGAGTCGAGCGCGGAGCGGTGTAGCCTGCGGAGCGGAGACGGGGTCTCCAAGGCCGGGAGGTCCCCGCCCGCCCCGGGGCCGGGAGCGGGGAGCTTCGGGGCACGACCCGGGTCCGGCCGCTTCCGGTGTCCGGGGTGATTTCGGGGTGCACGAGGGTCTAGCCGTTCTTGTGCGTGAGCACAGAGGCTGTGCGTGTCTCCAGGGCCCCACCTTTTGCATTGGGGGTTCCGCGGTACACCCCGCCTCCCGCGTGTGCAGACGCGCACGGCGCGGGGGCGGGCAGGAGGCTCCCTTAGGAGAGGCCTCCGGTCCTCAGTTTCCCTACCTACAGCATGCAGGCCACAAGGGGCCAGACGGTGAATCACGCCAGGTACCGGGGACCATGAAGCCCCAAACCCCAGTAGGACACCTGCCCCTGGTCCCGAGATTTGGGGATGAAGCCTAGACCCTCCCCTTGGCACGATAAGCGCCTATTGGATGGCGCTTTTCTGAAAGCCACTGTGCATCCTAGGCGGGCGACTTCCACCATCAGGCCTTTTCCAGGACCAGTCTGCCTGTCCATGTACTGCTCTGTCCCCCAGGAGGATGCACAGAGGACCGAACTGCAGGCTGGAATGGGGACCCAGGCTAGGACAGCTGGAGAACGTCACCACCTTGCAACCTGCCCTGGTGGTGTCCAGCTCCTGCCCCCATCCTACTGTGGCACTAAGGTGCCCATGGTTCTTCCTGACACCTCCCCTCTCTCTCACATCACCAGAGGGCCCCAGACTAAGGCAAGCTGGGACACCCCTGCACCCTGCAATCCCTCCCCTACAGCGAGCCGAGGCTTCTGCTTCCTTGGATTCCCACCCAGGCCTCAGCTCCTGTAGGCCATGTCCACTGCTCAGCTGGCCCAACCCCTCCTTGGGGTCCCCCCAGTTCCCCCATTAGTCCCCAGGGCACCATTCCTGCACTGAGTCTTATAGGTCATGCGGTCGCTGCCTTTGTTCCTACCTTGATCTTGAGCTTGGGTGTGTCTGTGGTCGAACCTTAGCTTCCTTCTAGTCAGTGGGGTCCTCCAGAGCGCTCCAGACCTGTTTCCCCATCCCTGGTGGGGACAGGGAAGCATTTAGCTCCTAGCAACCCTGAAGGAAGCCTGTTAGTGTGCCCTCTGCATATGGGCAGCTGGTTCTTAGATGGGGCAGGGACCAGCCCCAAGGCTGCTGGGGGATTCTGGCAGGGCTCACTCTGCCTTGTCCATGTCCTCTAGGCTGGCGTCCCTGGCTGAGCATGGTAGCAGCCTGTGGTCTGGGTTTCCTCGTCTGGTGTCAGGCACACCCTGAAGAGCCAGCAAGCTTGGGCACCCACGGCCCAGCTCATGACAGTGTGATCTACCTGCCGCAGCCTGGCCATCTGATGGGGTACACAAGCTGAGTGATTTAAGGAAACACCAGGGACATCCGCCTCGCACAGGTGACTAAATGGTGGACTCTGTGACAAGTGGCTTTTAGTGATGGCCAGCTAAGGCATGAGCGCCCCCGAGGTCGCCTGTGACTTCTGGAAGTAGAGCTCTGCAAGTCTATCAGGCGGGCTGCCCCCGCTCATGGGGCCTCAGGAGCCCCCGGGAGCCACGTGACTGTCCAGACCCCACCAGACCCAGCCATGGCGGGCGCTGAGGGCTTCCAGTACAGGGCTGTGTATCCATTCCGCCGGGAGCGGCCTGAGGACCTGGAGCTGCTGCCTGGAGACCTACTGGTGGTGAGCCGGGTGGCCCTGCAGGCACTGGGCGTGGCAGACGGAGGGGAGCGCTGCCCACACAACGTGGGCTGGATGCCCGGCTTCAATGAGCGCACCCGGCAGCGAGGGGACTTCCCTGGAACGTATGTGGAGTTCCTAGGGCCCGTAGCTCTGGCTCGACCAGGACCTCGCCCACGAGGCCCCCGTCCATTGCCTGCCAGGCCCGTGGATGGGCCCTCCGAGTCAGGTGAGCAGACACCTTGGAAGAGGGACCTGTCCCTGCGGACCTTCCGGCTGTGTGGTTGTTTGCAGAGGGTCTCTGCTGTCAGTCAGTTCAGCCCTGGGGACAGGTCCTGGTCAGGCTCCTTGCTCAGGAAGTGAGAATGTGTCACCCTGGTGACAAGTGTGGTGAGTTGCTGAGGGTGGAGGCCCTCGGGCAATGTGCACGGCTTGTGCAAAGGTCCTGAGGCAGGCTCCGGAGGCAGCCAGCAGGGAGTGCAAAAGGGAACTTGAAGAGTGCTTGTGTGTTCTGTGGACACGGGCCTCCTGCCAGCTGCGGACAGTGCTCTTCATGGGAGCCTCTCACCTGCTTTCACTCAGCCTCAGAGGCAGCACATTGGGAAGCAGGGACCCTACAAGCCTGTTGCCAGACAGGGTGGCACATGCCAGTAACCCCAGCCTTCGGGAGGCTGAGACAGGAGGGTTACAGGGCGGCCTGGGGCTACTTGTGAAGAACTTGTGTCCAATGCAAACCGCATGGCAGGAGCCCCTCACTTGGGGTGGATCGGCAGTGCAGCTGAGGCCTGGGAGGTTGGCTCAGGCCACGCAGCATCTGGTGTCCCCAGAGCCCAGGCCTGGCCCTGAGAGCCGCAGGGCCCCAGCCCATCCGGGCTCTCAGCCAGGGCCTGTGGCTGCCCCAGTAACAGCCGCCTCCCTCCGCAGGCTGGCCAGCGTCCAGCCACCTCACATGCCCCGCCTCACCCTCAAACCTTCAGGCCTGAGGTCTGCTCTCCGCAGCCTCAGTTTCCCCTACCAGCAAAGGTCCCACCTCCAGGCCCTGAAGAACCACCTGGAAATGCTCAGCATTCCCCTGCATCTCTCAAAGGGGGTGAGGCCTTTACCCGGTTGGCATTGGGGTCCTGAGCCGCCGTACCCCTCCTCCCCCACGGGCAGGGTGCTGTCCACCTCCTCTCGCCTCCTGCCTGCTGGTTTGGGGGGTTTGTTCTTTCATTTTCCATGCAGCTGGGCCAGCTCCACTCAGAGAGGCCCCACAGGCCCTGGCTTGCCTCTGCTGCGTGCCAGGGCGTCCCTGCCGAGGGCCAGAGCCAACCCAGATGGGCGGGACACCTGTGCACAAAAGGCCGTGCAGGGAGCCAGGCCCTCCTGGGAGGGGGCTGGGCTGGGGCCCAGCTTAGTTGGGGTGGGGGAGGGTGGGAAGCCAGGTTGGGGAGCTTGCTATCCCAGCACTGGGGAGACCAGGCAAGAGAATTGCTGTGGGTTTGAGGCCCGTGTGGGCTACGTATTAGGACCCTCTTTTAAAACGGGGAAAAAAGAAAGTCAGAGGAGGCGGCCCAGGCCTTTATGCCCAGCACTGTAGGAGGCAGGGTGGGCGTATCTGAGTTCAGGCCAACCTGGTCTGTATATTGAGACCCTGTCTCAAAAATAAAACCTAAAACAAAAAAGATAGTACCATCTGGCTGCCTCCCCCAAAGTTTAAACCCAGAGAGGGTTAGCCCTGCACTCAGGGTTGCAGAGCAGGCCACAGTGGAGTTTGGTGGCTGTCACAAAAAATCCCTGTGAAACCACACGCATGTCCAACCGTACAAGGTCTCAGAGAGCAGGCGTTGAAAGTCGTGGCAAAGGCTGGCTTTAGTTCTCTGCCGTTCCAGCCTAGTACAGAACCTGTACGCCGCCTTCTTGGTTTGGGAGAAAGGTTGTGTGTAGCCCAGGCTGGTTTGGAACCGGCCATCCTGCCTTCCACCCGAGCACTAGAGAGCTCCAGGTCTCCTCCCACGCCTCGCTCTCATCTCTTGGGGGGCCACTGTTGCTGGTCTTCTCGATTCCTTGTGGTAACCTGAGAAATCATTTCCCTCTAATTCAGCCTCCTTGTGGCCCCAGGTTCCCAAGCCAGGCCTCCGCCACCTGCAGCCACCCACGCTGAGTCCAGCAGGCATAGAGGGGATGGGGGCTCACGTCCTGTCCCGTCCTTCCAGGCCTCGCGCTGGCGGAGTTGACGGAGCAGTTCTGCCCCCCTGACCCTGCCCCGCCCATTCTGGTGAAGCTGGTGGAGGTCATTGAGCAGGCAGGTGAGGTCCCGGTTGACTGCTTGGGGTGGAAGCTCATGCCCACCCAGGGCCATCCTGGTCTCTGCACGGGAGGAGGCTGAGCCTGGATGCTGTGGGAAGGGGTGACACCCAGTGGGGAGGTGGCCTGGGCCCCGTGTGACTTGGTTAGTCAGTCTCAAGGGTCTCTCTCTCCCAGGGCTGGACGGTGAATGCTACAGTAGGCCCGAGCTGCCCGCACCTCGGACAGGTCGGCTTCTGCTTGCTCTCCTCTGATGGGAAGGGTGGGCACGTGCACCAGGCTGGACTATGACGTCTTGTCCTTGCCTGCAGACTGGTCCCTGAGTGACGTGGAGCAATGGGACCACACCGCCCTGTGCGATGCTGTTAAGGGCTTCCTGCTGGCGTTACCTACAGCCGTGGTGACCCCTGAGGCTGCAGCAGAGGCGCACCGGGCGCTGCGGGGTAAACCCTGGGAGGGATGAGTAGGGGAACCAGGCGGTGGGGCGGTGGGTGGTCACTGGCCTGGCTGACCGGCCCTGGCCGGCTCTCTGCCTGCAGAGGCTGCGGGACCCGTGGGACCGGTGCTGGAACCCCCAACGCTGCCACTGCACCAGGCGCTCACACTGCGGTTCCTGCTGCAGCACCTGGGCCGTGTGGCCCGCAGAGCGCCTGCACAGGCCACAGCTGTCCACTCGCTGGCCAGTGCCTTCGGGCCACTGCTGCTGCGTACACCTCCGCCAGGGGGTGACGCTGATGGGTGAGTAGGCAGGACCCTTGACATCAAGGGGCTTGGTGGGTGTGGTCAAAGGTGCGTGGGTGTGGCTCCATTGGGTGGGCAGGGCTGGGAAAAGCCCCTTTGTAGGGACAGAAGGCTGGGGCTGAGCCAAAGGGGGGCTGGGGCCTCTGTGTAGGCAGAGTAGTCCCAGACAAGGGGTGCTGGGAGGTACTTTCTCTGTGGGGTGGGACCCTGCTGGTTGGGGAGGAAGCAGGGACCAGACCTCCAGTATCTGGGGGCTAGAGTGAAGGGGCTGCAAGCAGAGAGCGTCAAGTCCAGCCTGCGCCCTTCCGCTGCCATGTTGCTTCCTCGTTTTTTCTCACGGTGAGCATGTATGGAGCACCGATTACGCGTGCCTCGCCACACCTGTCTTCCCACTGCCAACTGTTACCCTCCGCGCCTGCTGCCCCAAGTCTGTGCACACGTGGGGTGGAGGACATGGCACACAGCTGTCACTCCCAGACCCTGACGCCCCCACTTTCCCCTAGGAGTGAGCCTGGACCCGACTTCCCCGTGCTGCTGTTGGAGAGGCTGCTGCAGGAGCACGTGGATGAGCAGGATGCCGCCCCCCCAGGTGACGGCCCTCTCACCCAACCGCTGTTCCCGTGGGTGGGCAGTCTGTCCTATTCAGTTAGTGCTTAGTACTTGCATGTTTTCTGCAGGTTCAGTATGCACTTGGTGCGTAATGCATGCGTGTTTTCCTGTCTTCCAGCACTTCCACCCAAGCCCGCTAAGGCAAAGCCGGCCCCCACAGCCCTGGCCAATGGAGGGAACCCGCCCTCACTTCAGGATGCAGAGTGGTACTGGGGGGACATCTCCAGGTAGTTTTTCTGCGGTGGAAGGTGGGCTGCGGGTGGGGGTGGGGGTGGACAGGCCGGTCAGTGGCTCCTTGCCCGTGTTCCTCAGGGAAGAGGTGAATGAGAGGCTCCGGGACACACCCGATGGGACCTTCTTGGTCCGAGATGCATCCAGCAAGATCCAAGGAGAGTACACGCTCACCCTCAGGTGGGGCTGATGCCCAGGCAGGGCGGGGGGCTGTGGATTTGGGGCCTTCTATAGTGCTGACCCCGCCCCCCAATACAGGAAAGGCGGGGGGGAACAACAAGCTGATCAAAGTCTTCCACCAGGACGGCCACTACGGCTTCTCCGAGCCCCTCACCTTCTGTTCCGTGGTAGAACTCATCTCCCACTACC